CAGTTTGATTGCATTCTCAGCCTGCATAATGGGAGTATGGTTAGTTACCATGGTGGTAATACATGGTATTGGTAATTATTATCACTATTCTGCATTTTTATAACATGAAACTATATCTTACCACACCTTACCATATGGTAACAAAGTAAAACAGAACAAGAATTATGGTTTCCTCCATTTTTATAACATGAATTCATTGCTTACCACACATTACCATATGGTAACGTATTAAAACACAACAGGACTTATGTTTTCCTCCATTTTTATAACGTGAAACCGTAGATTACCACACTTTACCATATGGTAACAAACTAAAACACAGCAGGACTTGTTGTTTTTTGTATTTTTAAAACATGAAAGCATAGCTTACCACACATTACCATATGGTAACAAAGTAAGACAGAACAAGAATTATGGTTTCCTCCATTTTTATGACATGAAACCATTGCTTACCACACATTACCATATGGTAACGAAGTAAACCACAACAGGACTTATGTTTTGCTCCATTTTTATAACATGGAACCATAGCTTACCACACTTTACCATATGGTAACAAAGTAAAACACAGGACTTACGCTTAGCATGTATTGGACAACTGGTATATAGATAATTTGTACTTACTTGGTTGACTGTTCTGATTTTCTTCAAATCAAAGTTCAGTGATGATGACTGCTCGGGACTTTTGTTTCTTTGTCTTTTCGGTGATTCATAGACTGGCTCATTCTCCTCTTCCTCATCAGCTGCGACATCAGCTGCGTCATCAGCCTCATCATCAGCCTCATCATCAGCCTCATCGTCTCTAATGTTGGTAATCTTTTCGATCTCGTTCAACTGTTTTCCATTGTAGTAGCTCTTAATGTTCTCAAAGTTGCTATCAACATTGTTATCATCATAGTAGCTTACTGTTGGTGTTCGAAGCTGGGTTGAGAATGCCATTTCGTCCAGTTTGTACATGAAGCATACCTTTTTATGCAGATAGTTGTATTAGTTTTTTCAAAGAGTATCATTTATATATAAAATATATGAGTAACAAGGTTGAAATGGCCAAGGGAATGGAGACTTACTGTAAGGAAGTGAAGATCTGCATTGACGTAGCGCTTTGATGATTTCAATCCTTCATTCATGTGGTTGAAGAAGTATTTGCACCAGTTGTAGCTGGTGAAATGTTTCTGTTCATCAGTCTTCAAGTACTCAAGCATGTTGAGTTCAGCCATAGGGGCTGAAGTTGGGCACAACAAGCCTCCGGTGACCAGCAGAAAGAATAATTGTAACCATCTCCTACTGTTGGTAACTGTAGAAAGATCTTTTTCTACCTGACTTAGCTTTACCCTTGGAGTGGATGCTCCATCTACTTCCAGTAGGGTTTCTACTGCATAATCTGCTGCATCGTCCCAAGAAATTGTGGGAGGTACAACTTCCCTATTCCCCATTGGCAGACCATATACCCTATGAAAGTCAATTGGTGATATCTTCATGCGTGTCCCATCAGGTAGCTTGAAAGATTGGTTCATTGGATTGTATTTGTTCATTACGAACAGTGCAAAATGGTTGTTTATCTTTGTCTGCTTGATTGACATTAAGCCTGCTAGGCCTAATGTCTCAAGTTTCTCTTTCTGCTCATCTTTTATAGTCCTCGCAATTGCAGATATTCTTGTTGGGCTGCACCTTGTGCGAAAAGTTTTTCTTTGGTTTACCATAGTGTACCTGAATGTAGAAATTAGGAATAGTCTGTTAGCGTGCTTTTTACCATGATATACCATATGGTACCATAATGATTTCCTACCATACCAAATCAAACCATATATTTATCTCATTTTACCATATGGTAATTACATCAAACCATGTCTTATAAGATATTACCATATGGTAACGAAGTAAAACACAACAGGATGTATGTTTTCATCCATTTTTACAGCATGAAACCATAGTTTACCACTCATTACCATATGGTAAAGAAGCAAAACACAGCAGGACTTATGGTTTTTTGCTATTTTACAACATGAAACCATAGTTTACCACTCATTACCATATGGTAACGAAGCAAAACACAGCAGGACTTATGGTTTTTTGCTATTTTACAACATGAAACCATAGTTTACCACACATTACCATATGGTAAAGAAGCAAAACACAGCAGGACTTATGGTTTTTTGCTATTTTACAACATGAAACCATAGTTTACCACTCATTACCATATGGTAACGAAGCAAAACACAGCAGGACTTATGGTTTTTTGCTATTTTACAACATGAAACCATAGTTTACCACTCATTACCATATGGTAAAGAAGCAAAACACAGCAGGACTTATGGTTTTTTGCTATTTTACTACATGAAACCATAGTTTACCACTCATTACCATATGGTAAAGAAGCAAAACACAGCAGGACTTATGGTTTTTTGCTATTTTACAACATGAAACCATAGTTTACCACTCATTACCATATGGTAAAGAAGCAAAACACAGCAGGACTTATGGTTTTTTGCTATTTTACAACATGAAACCATAGGTTACCACACATTACCATATGGTAAAGAAGCAAAACACAGCAGGACTTATGGTTTTTTGCTATTTTACAACATGAAACCATAGGTTACCACACATTACCATATGGTAACAAACTAAAACACAGCAGGACTTATGGTTTTTTGCTATTTTACAACATGCAATCATAACTTACCACTCATTACCATATGGTAATGAAGCAAAACACAACAGATTCTACATCAGTTCAGCAACGCATGGAGAGTGACTGCGATACTGTTCTATTGTTGGATTTCGAAGAAAGAAGTGAGGTTTTACCTTGATATTTTGTGCGAAAACGATTTTTGAGCCTCGTTGAAGTTGGAAACTCTTCGTTTTTCGACGAAGAAGCGAGAACAGTGTATCGTTGAATGATTCTTCGAAATCCTTTGCGAAAATCGTTCGATTTGAAGTTTTTTCTGGAAGTTTTTGCTGCGATTTTGGTGAGAGAATTGAGAATCGAGAGGAAGAATGGAGAGTTTGAGAGCAGAGAGGGAAGTGGAACTGTCGCTTGAAAGGTGAGAGGAAGAAGGAGAGAAGGCGGGACGGTTGTCGCTGTCACGTCTGCAATTCAAATTGTCAGAGACGAGATTACGTTTTTGCCCCCGCGTGTATTTTAAGTGGTCTGATCTGACGGCTGGGAAGATGGCGCGATGGACGGCCGGATCATCGGTTACTGACCGTTACTGACAGGTCGGTTACTGATAGGATCCGGACCCCTCTCCCTTCCCTCAAGTGTGGCCGAATTGGCCCTTTAGGTCTCCAGCATCTGTTTTTTGGTAAGGGATTATTTATGGGCTCTCCAATTCAATTTTGGGTTGGCGATTTCATTTTGCAGAATTTTGTCATCAAATATAGTCAAGTATCGGTCGAGGCAGTCACGATCCATAAATGGTCGTCCCCTGGCGTTCAAAAGGTTGTACGATCAAAGAAGTAATCGTCCCTTCATCGTCCAGCTGGCATTCACGATCCAAGAAATGGTCGTCCCCTCTTCTGGTTCATTAGTGGGCACATATCAACCATTCATCGTTTTTCAAGCTGGGCATTCACGTTGTTCATGCTCCAGCTTGAGGGGGAGAATAGGAGGTCAACATACGTCGGTCGACTAACTCAGTCATCAGGTCGACCGCGATGTACCAGGTGTGTTCAAGTTCAAGAGACGCAGTCAATCGTCTCCATCATCAAGTTGTTCAGAGAGAGTCATTCGTCTCCAATCAACTTCGTACGAGATGTTATTCATCTCGAGTTTTGTGGTTCAAGCCATCATGCTTGTTCTTCACATTTACTTCTTCAAGCTCGACATTTTTGTCATTCATGTCTTCGCTTGAGGGGGAGTGTTGCGGTTACTTAAACCGTGTTAGTATTGGGCCTTGTTGGGCCTCATCTTATTTGTTGGATTAGGGTTTTAACCCTAAGTCTTTCTCTATATAAGCTTAGCTATGAGATTGTCGTAAGCAAGCCGTCAAGATGTAATCCTAATAAGAGATCAGTCGTGAGCTCTTATGAGCTCACCGTGGATTAGTCTCGATCAATCAATCGATCGAGGATACCACGTAAATCTCGTGTTCTTGTTATTTCATCTTCCGCAACATCAAATTCTACAGTGCTCGGCGAATGTGACCGGAAAAATAGGATTAGATTTTGGGGCAGACGCCGAAGCAGAAGCAGAACGTTTTAACGGTTTAACGGAACGGGCTTGAAATGGCTGTGCACCAACGGTTTAACAGAACGGGTTTTTTAAGCCCTTTCGGTCTTTTTATGAATTGGGCCTTTATATATTCCCAAAAACTGTAACGGGTAGGGGTTGGCATTTTTTTCTATAGTAGAGGTTGGGCTTTATTTTTTTTGCATAGTATGGGTTAGGCTTGTCTATTCATATGGGGTTGGGCTTATTTATTCAATATGATTAATTAACCTCATACAAAAAAAAAAATGATTAATTATCCACTGTCCAATTGTCAATTGATACAATTTAGTGTCCTTATTTGTGAAACCCTAACGAGGGAGAAGAATTATCACATCAACCATATTGTCAATTTGATTAAATTTTTTGATTGATCTAGAACAGTTTTTCTAATGATTACCGAAAAATGAGAATATAGTAGTTTAATTGGCAGCATACGGACACAGACTGATATAATGATAACACGATAAAACTAGTTGATATATTATTATGAGTTGGGAGTTTAACCACACACATTAGCATCGCTTAACGTCCGAGGTCCCTCACGAATTCATAAATATATATTTTTATATATATATATATTTGTACCATATTGGCCTATACGTAGCTAGTAAGAAATTTTACCCCACCGTATCAATTTCTACAAATCTTTTTGTATATGTGTAATGTACTGGCTTGACTAGTCGTGAACCATTTTCATAGTACAACCACCGAAAGGATACGATTTAACCAATCACAATCGGTATCACTACTAAGAACATATGATCGTTTACAAAATATATAGCTAGCATGTATATATAATTAAATACGAAATTCGTGTATCATTATAATACCACAAGATTACATATTAGATGGAACATACATGTATCTCCTTGCATGGCAAAAGAAAAGAGAAACTAGGGCTTCTTCCACACTCGAAATCAATGGTCAGGAAGAGCACCAAGGCGTTTGGCACACTCCAAGCTGTCCTCGATAACAGCTTTTGCATCATAATTGTACCTAAACCCCATCTTCATCAGCTTCGAGTTGTCCAACTTGATTCCCTTCCCAACTTCCCCCATCAGCCTGCCCAAAACGACTCAAGTTAGCTTGCCGTTTTACACAACACAGACAAAAAAAAAAATCATTTTTCTTAATTACGTACGTGTCATGAACGTGACACTCCGGATAATGGTCCTGGACATACGTGGCGATTTCCCTGACGCTGGGGCTGCCAGCTGCGCACAGGAACCTGCCGCCACTTGCCTTCTTCTCTTCCATGCAGAAAACCAGGGCCTCGCAGACGTCTTCCACGTGGACCAGCGGCACAGATCCCAGAATCTCCTGTATCAACATCAGCCCGTGGTTGTAACCAAACACGTTCCCGGTGGCCGGAGAGATTATGACCTCCACGCTCATCGGCACGTGCGAGAGGATCGTCTCGCCTCCGACCAATCCCGTGGCCAGGCTCACCACTTCCAGCTTCCCGCCGCCGCCGGCGTCGTTGTACCTCAGTACCTCTTTCTCCGCTATTGTCTTTCCCCTCGTATATTCCTTCATTTCCCAACAGAAATAATAATTTATGATATGATCTCAAAATTGGCTTGATTAAATAATCGTATGTTTGAATCTCCATAATCCTAATATATATAACAACTGATTTAACCACAAGATAATAGTGGACATATGAAAACTTTCAAACTCAAGTAATTGATTTTCATTTGAGACGTGTGTACAAGAATGATATAGGATCCATAATTAACATTTTCTAAAAAAAATCGAGGTATTGAAACCAATCAATTTTTTACAAACTTATCAAATGGAAAAATGAGACAGAGACAAAATATTTCATGAGTTACTAGAACCAATCGATTTATAAATTATAACAAATCAGTCAAATAGAAAATCATAGAAATAAAATGCTTTCGTCGATTTTAAAATACATATAAACCACGAACTAATTGATCCTTGTCAAGAATCAGTTGGTCCCAATAACTCGAGTTATTGGGACAACTGGTTTATGACATGGTATCAGAGCTGGTTTGGGCAAGTGGTCGTGTGTTCGAATCTCCACGAACCCCAATATTAACTTTTGATTAAAGCACAAGATATGGTAGGCCTGTGAAAACTTCAAGCCCATGAGTTGGCTTTCGTTTGAGAGGGCGTGTTAGAGTGTGATATAAGATCCAACATAACCTTCTCCCAACAACTCGAATTATTGGGACCAACTGATTGATTTATGACAGTCCTCATGCTCACATGCTCACAAAATAAAAATTGTTGCCACATTTTACATGGCTAGTGGACCAGTGGTCCTCTGTTTTCAGATTTCTAGTACTTTGTATCCTTAAACCTTGTCATTTATTGCAGATATGATACATGGTCATATGGAGGAATTATTGGCTACACCCGGAGTACCACGTAGGCATGGTGATGTGGTACTCCGGGCAAATGAAATGTTGCCACGTGTCAAACTGCTCAATTAATTTATTTATTGCTGATTTAGTTTTTCTTGCGTCCTTAATTACCTTTTTCGGCTGAAGGTCCTCCATCAATATATTAATTAAGAATAGTTAATTAAAGTTTCTCTTTCATGCTCCTTCATTTTTTCCGGAGGTAGAGCAACCGACGACCCTAATAAATTGAAACATGATTGACAAGAACTGAGAAGAGCTGCAGGACCTCACGCCTCGAGAACACTTATTCTGCTCCTCCATTCCAAATGGAGAAATAGGTAATTATATACTCGTCCCATTTAATTATGACTAACCATCATTAGTTTATCTATTGTTGATTATTTTATTTCCAGGTTGGTTGAAAAGATTGAAGGATAAATCATAAATGGAAGGTCTTTACGTTCTTCAGCAACAGGGTAACCAATTGCAGCCAGAACCCACAAAACTTTTCCGGCTCAGTCACGAATCAAATTTCTTCGTCATCGGAATTGGTATCGCAGCTGCCATGGCAGGGAATTTCGCCGGCGGCGGCAGCCCAGAAAGACGAGATTAGAAATGGTGGCGCTTCTAAATTATGTATGGATGTTGCAGCCAGTGGTGACTATTCTAAGTGGACTAGAGGGATTTGATCAGGGATTACGTCGCTGGATATAAAATGCTGAATTTGGATGAGTTTCTTGGCTACTGATTTTAGAGTTAAGACATTCCAGTAAGCAGAGTACCTGGAAAAACAAAGCCTCCTGTTTTCAATTTTCCCCATCATTCTTCCCCCTTCAATCGACCCAGTAATGCGTTTTGGAATTAGATAAGGTTTTAGGAAGAACAAAAAAAGTTCATAATGCACATACGTAGAACAAGGAATTTTGCCGGCTGCTTTCCGCCGGAGAAAACGAAGGAGCAAGAGTAATTTGATTAAAGACCTTTAACCGAAGAGGTAATTAAGAAATAAGAACGTCCCTAAAAAAAATTAAGAAATAAGAACGCAAGAGAAAATAAATCAACATTAATTACATCAGTTAACTGATCATTTTGACACGTGGTGAATTTTCATTGGCCCGGAGTACCACATCACCATGCCTACGTGGTACTCCGGGTGTAGCCAATAATTCCTCTGGTCATATGAACCGATTTGTTTGTAATTAAAGGACAGGGATGCAAGGAAATTATTAAGGCACGTACCAAAGTGAAAGTATCGCTGTAATTGAAAGAGAGGTTTAGAGGAGTCCAACACGATTCATCAATGGTGGCACCGTATCCAATCCCGTCCTGAAACCGGGGGGAAGCCGCCATGACAGAGGCGGTGTATATCAGCCGCTTCACCGTCCCCGATTTGATGCAGCTTTCCGCTATGCTCTTCGACCCGGCAGCCATGGCTTCCATCCTGTCCTTGTACTGCACTCGAATTTCAGATACAATAACTTGAACAAACTTTCAATTTCGCGGAGGGAGAAAACAGAGTGCAGATAAAAAAAACAGAGCACAGACCGTGGTGCTGTTGCGGCTGTGCTGGAGAGGGTAGGCGACGTGGAAAACGAACTCGCACCCATTAATGGCGGCTTGGAACTGGTGCGGGTTGTAGATGTCGGCTTTGAACAGGACCAAATTGGTTTCGGCGTTGGGGAGGGAAGTCAGGAGACCCACTTTCGCCTTGTCCTCTGCAAACCCAAGGTGAAATTTTTTTTTTTTTTACACAAATTTAATCAATTCGAAAACATAATATCTTCTGCAATTGATTGAGCTAAGCTAAACTAATCTCGTCCGACCGAACTGGAAATGGAATTTGAACGGACCGAGGTTGCGGAGGGTGGCGTGGACGGTGTAGCCCTTTCCCAGCAGTTTCTTGACGAGGTAGGAGCCGATGAAGCCAGAGCCTCCGGTGACGCAGACTTTGGTTTGAGATTTCTCCATTGTTGTTGATGGGGGTTTTGTGTGGAAGTTGATGAGGCAAAGTGAGGGGGGAAGTGTTACTGTAGAGATTTTGGTGGAATGGAGGTTGGGAGGGCAGTCCTATTTATACAGGAAGGAGAAGAAACAGAGGGGTTTTTTTTTTACAGTTAAGAAGAAGAAGCAGAGCTTGGTTAGCTTAAAAATTCGGTTTTTTCTCTATCTTGCCTTTTATTTTATGGAAAGCTTAAACATTCTGTTAGTTATGCGGAGACAATATAATTCCTTTTATTTATTTATTTTACGATAAGGAGACAAAATAATTACAGTGGAAATTCTGCATACACCATCAATATATAGGGTTTATGTTTGTAATATAATCTTGTTTGTTTCAATCAAGGAGTGTTGTTTAATGATTTTTTTTTATGGATGTCCAATCATTTTTGCAGCCAATGGACACCACATATTCATGTTATGTTTTCCAAGTGTATCGAAAAGACTATTACTAATATGAAGTACGTGGTCTTGAGAGAGAAAAACTCGTAATAGATGTCATTTGTATTATTGAATCACTTAAAAATCATGCACTTATCCTAGTTCTCTAATTTATACGGTACCATATGAAATCTGATCTTTATGTAAAGTTTTTTTTAGATAAGGGTGACATAGATTGATTTTTATATGTAGGTAGTATGGAAGAGATTTGAACATGAGACCTCTAGGTTCAACACTAATGGTTTTACCACTACATCTTTATGTAAAGTTTAATGTTACAACAAACCGAGATCAAGATAACTTCACTAACATTTATAGTAAAATTGTTGTTACAAAGAATGAGTGGACTTATGATGTCTATCTACTACTTACATTTAGTTTGTTCGAATAACTCAAATGTTAAAGAGACTCTATAATGCATCTTATATTATTATATTATTCTCTCATATGATATGAGTTTGAAGTTTGTACACACCTACCATACCTTGTGTTTGACCCAATATATTAATAATTTTGAAAATTCGAACACAATAATAGTCTATCATAACAAGTTCACAAATGATATCAAGAATCAATTAATCAGAATTACCAAAAAAAGCTCCAATATACATCTTATACCACTTAAAATTAATTAATAGACTCGAGAGATCAACCAGAGTTTCGACAACCGACTGTAGCTGACAAACGAGTAAAGACTAGTTCTCTAAAAAATGGAACAGCCTCGAACATGCCCACGAACAACTTTCGAATGAAACTATGCATTTTCAATTTTCATAAGGTTGTCTTCTTCGTAGATCGTGTAATGAGCTTTCCAAAAATATATAATTGAAAATATTATAGAAGGACTGTACAATGAGATTCAAATTATTCTACGATGGAATTTAAAATATACAAATCAGAAGTTAGGAAGAGCTATGTGATCAAACCAGAACTGGAACCGTAACCTTGCGTTCTGTTTACTAGTTTAGCAGTTTCTGAACGCGAAAGATACAAACACTAGAGAACTACCTAGTGTCGTTCTTTCAGCCGAGAGTCGGCTTCAACATTTTGTCGTTGAAAACATTCTCCTAGCTGAAGCCACTCTTCAACTAATTTTACCTGGTAATAAGCAATGTAAAAGACAAGATGAAGACTTTTTCCCGCGATTGAAAGGGTCAAACAATGTAAAAAAAAAAAGACACTTCTATGGGAGATACCAACTAAGCCGTCTTTCTTCCTTTTTAATGGTAAGCACCAATATACAAAAGGAATGTTCATGTTTCAGAGCAATGACCCATTCAAAAGCCTGTGAGAGAAGATAGAGCAGGCTAGGACTCCAAAAAGGAATATATAGTGCAGATGATGCCAAGAGGCAGGAGCTAGGTAGTGGGCTCAAATGCGGCTTGTTCATGCCAGACGCCGTTCAAGTTGGACTGCCATAGTCTCACCATTCCATCACTCCCTGTGGTTGCTAGAGTCATCCCACTCATATCCCATTCCATTTGCCAAACCTGCATAAGTAAATAAACATTCACATAAGTTTCAGCAAGAACAGGCGAGACCGGGAAGTATTTGCGATCGTAGATTATAGTTTAAACCGTGTTGGTCGGATCGTACCTCTGCCTCGTGGCCAGAGAGTAATGCAACCCTCTCAACTGCGAGTCTGCCTTGGACGTCGGGGTTGGATCCCAGGTGCCATATGGCAATTCCCTTGTGAGTAGCAACAGCAATGACCTCATATGGCCTTACAAAAAATAGGAAGATTTGGTTTAATGCATACAACCTTAAGAAAAAAAAGTTAAAACGTTCTGGCATTTCAGATGTTCAAGCAATCACCTGCCAATGTTTGGTGCCCATGCAACGGAGAAAACCTGATCTTTTCTGTCTTCAGGTAAAGCCAGCTCGGCCACCGGGACCCATCGTTGGTGGTCTAGATCGAACTCCCACACCTGTCAAATCCAGCATCTTATCAGCCAGATGAATACTGACCAATCATGAATTACTGTGGACATGAACCATCTCAAACATGTGTGAACGAAAACCATTTTCCCAGAAGCTAGTAATTTCCTAATCTGAAGAAGACAGGATGCTGGCAAGAAAAGCTTATGACTCATCGTGCCAAGAACTCAGAAAGGTGAAAAGAGAATACCCGACTGACTATTCTAGATTGCATTTGCAAATACTTCCTACCTCTCAAATATTGACGATTGCATGTGCAATTGCAAATGCACTCAAATTCATCAACATTATCAACGCAAAAATTATATCATCTGTCTAATAGGCAATAGCAATATAGCATGTAATTGCAAATATCACCCAATCAATCGACCTGAAACTTTAATTTCAGAATTTGTTTCACGCTCTAAGGATCTCAAATGACAAGGTGAACTTTTTAGTTTTGCCTTCCTATCACTTCCTACGAAATCCAATCTTCCTTTTCCTCTTCTTTTCTTCATATATGATTTACCAGTTTACCATATACAATTCAACGACCTAAGATAAGTTGATGTCCACATTGGCCTCCCAATTGCAACCTAAAAGAAAGACTTAAATCGAGATTCCTACAACCTTGGAGGAGTTGAGCTGTGGTGTATCCGAATTGAAGCCCAATACAAAGCTTAACTCCTGGCCATCACCCCTTTGTGGATTCCAAGAGATGGAAGCAGAGAAGCATGTAGCCTCGGCCAATTTAGCTACTGAATCAGTCAAATTCTGGAACTCAGCCTGATCCATTGGAAAATAGAAGTACATAAGAAGGGGAAAAGAGCAAAATTAGACCATACCTGATCTACTGACTACTATAACATAACAAGTAACATAATTGAACATCTAAACCTGAAGCTGCCAGTTCTTCAACTCTAATGAATTTGAGAGCTCGTAAACTTTCACTTGACCATGCGAATATGCCACAACCTGCAAGCTATAAACAAAGACAATCACCAGTTGAACATATTGTCAACCATTAATGCAACAACGAAAAACGAAAGAATCACACGAATTCACCATCTTTAAAATTGTCCGGAAAACTCCAAATTGAACGTCCAACATTTTTGCAGAGTTGCTCTGGAAGCTTTTGCAGTGCTTCCAATCAACAGCTTGAGCATCTACACGAAGAAAGCCCAAAAAAAAGCACCATCAACAACCGTAGCTGACACTCTCTATTAGCTACTTTTTAAAAGTAAAAAAAGCAATTCGGTGCGAGGTAAAACCTTCAGCCAACTCTTCCCACAGAGACAAGCTTCCGTTCCCGTCAATGCAAGCCACTGCATCGCCAATTACCGGCGGAATCCATACTAGCTTCACAACACCACTCTCACTAACCTAAACCAAAGTTCAATTAGCACGAGAAACGAAATGGCACCAATCGGAAATTGGATAGAGGCGATTGCGAGCTCGCCGGAAAGACTAATTTACTAACCCTAGCTTTAGAGGTGCATTTGAAGGAGGTGGAAGCAGGGTCGCCGGAATCGAAGATGGAAAGCGTCCCGTCGACAGAGCCGGTGGCCAACCGCTGTCCGGAGTAGTTCCAGGAGGAGCATGTCGTGCCGTTATCAAGCGTCGCCAGTGACTTCTCCATGTTCGTAAGTAACTTTGATTGCAGAGTTCTGACTTCTGACTTCTGAGCTCGTCTCGCTGAGTGAAGCTGCTGTGCTGACTGCTGAGTACTGATTTCTCCCGCCAGGTTTCCTCAGCTGCGGAGCTCTAGACTAAACTGTCGACATCAACAAGGGCCGGCGTATTAAGAGGCTCACGTGGTCTGTGGGCTTTTAATATGGGCTCATTAGATAGAGTCTGGCCCGCTTGAATTCTGATTAATTCTTAGGTAGGAATCTACACTTAATCAAATTAGTCTGTAAGCCCACAAAGCTGACACGTATGCTTAGCTAACGGCGACAAAACTTGCGACGGGCCATTGTACAAGTCCCATGTATATGCACCACAAGTAGAAGTAGGGTGGTCAACAATCTGATTCACATTGGACCAATTTGATATATGAAATGAAGAAAAAAAAATCGAATATAATTCGATTCTGATTTTAGTTTTATGAATTGTTTTAAGTAAGAAGAAAAAAATGAACCAGACCGAATTCAATCAAATGAACCAAATATGTTTTTGGTTTAATTATGATCCTCATTGTTCCCACTGATTATTCCAATCGTTAATCAAACCAAATTCCCAACTTATTCCATAATTAATCCAATCACCAAAATGACAACTTATTAATCCCGCAAAACAAAACATACAAAACCCACCAATCTCTAGTTAATCAAGCCCAACAACATTCATTAATTCAAATCACAAACTGGGAATAACTTCAATCACTCTGTAGTCTGTTCTGTTCTAACTCTGCTTCATCCACAACTTCGCCACTTCATCCAGCGATTTGGTGGACGACCCGTCGCTTCCAATGGCATTCGCAGCAGCAACCTTCAGCTCCTTCACATTGCTCCTAAGCAGCTTCCCTTCTTCCCCATCCAACACAGCCTTCACGAATCCAGCAATGTCTTCCCTCCCCACAATTCCATCCTTTTCACTCGTATCCATCCTCAGGGCAATCTTAGCATCCCCTGCCAAGAACGCCGCATTCATCCGCTGCTCCGCGTGGTTCGGCCACGCAATGATCGGCACCCCGTTCACAATGCTCTCCAGGCTCGAGTTCCACCCGCAGTGGCTCATGAACCCACCGGTCGAACCGTGGCCCAGGATCCGAACCTGAGGAGCCCACCCGGGAATCACCAGGCCGACCCCTTTGGTCCGCTCCAGAAACCCATCCGGTAAGTAACTCGAAGGATCGTTTGACGACGACTCGATCGATTTCTCGACCATGTAATCCCCGGGCGGTTTAACCACCCAGATGAACCTCTTCCCGCTCATCTCTAGCCCGAACGCTATCTCGTCCTGCTGCGCCTTGGAGAGCTTCCCTCCGCTCCCGAACGAGATGAACAGGACGGAATCCTCCGGTTGCTTATCCAACCAATTCAAACACTCGAGCGAGTCGGTCCCCATCTCGGCCGGGTCGTCCGACTCGAGCCGTGGTACCGGTCCGATTGGATAAATCAATGGGCCGGTTCCGGTCCGACCGCGCTCCTCGGCCAGAGCTTTGAAAATTCCACTCTCCAAGTCAACAAACCCGTTGACCATGATTCCAACGGCGTTGGTCGAGATCTCCTTGTGAACCTCGACCATCCACTTATAAGCATCGTTCTTCTTGTCGAGAAAAGGTTCGGGGAGATCCCGTCCACTGAGCGGGACGCAACCGGGCAGCTTCAGAGGCTCGGGCAGGTCGCTGAGCTCGCCCGGGCAGGTCGCCTCGAGCTCTGGGGCTTTCAGCCCCAGGGTGAGGTGGAACGCGCCACACGTGTAGAAAACGTAAGGAGGTACGCCGAGTTCCGCCGCCACGTGTAGGGCGTGGGCGCTGAGGAAATCGACGACGACGGCAACCACCCGGCCTCCGCCGGCGGCGGCGGCCGACGGAGTTAGCAGGGTCTTCAAGGAGGCGCGGATGGAAGGGAGGGAGCGGATCATGGTGAGGGTGACGCGGGTGATGACGTTGGCGTCGGCGGGGACGTCGGAGAGGCTGACCGGCGGGAGGAAGAGAGGGGAGATGGTGGGCGGGAGGGATTGGAGGAGCTCGCGTTGGGGTTTCATGCCGGTGCCGTTGTCGGGGACCATGATGGTGACGGAGAAGCTGTGGCGGTGGAGGAGGCGTTTGGCTAGCTCGACGAATGGGATGAGGTGGCCGTGGCCGGGGGAAGGCACCATGACGACTCGGAGCTCCGGCCCGGCGGCGGCGGCGACGTCGCCCATTTTGTGGGGAAGTGAATGTCTTTGGAGGGTTGGTTTGGTTTGAGTAGACAGTAGTACGGTTGTTCGTTTATGGTTGAAAGAAAAGACGGGAAATTGATGGCTTTATAATGGTGGATGGATATTATTGGCCAAACCAAACCATGCAAACAACTAGGAGGAGGTAGGTAGCGGAGGGAGTAGAATTCACTGGTTTGGTTGATTTTTCTTTTTTTACAGTTTTACTCAATTTGGGTAAAATTGAAGTGAGGGTGATTGAGGACAATTTGACTCGGGACGAATTCACCCTTGAGATTCAATCCATGGAAGGGTCTTCTTCCGGCTGCTAGCTTTCTTTGCTAGTAAATTTAGCTGAGGAAGAATAGGAGAAACGATTGATGTTTGTCCATTTGGTCTTTAATTGGGACAGTGACGAGGGAGAGAAAAAAACCCCAGCTTGCTGATAAATGAGGCATTGAATGGTGTCGGTATGGTGCATTATTACCGAAGAAACTAGAGCCATACATTTTATACATGCACCCACCGGGGGAGGTGGCCGGGGGTAGTTGGCACGGGGATCCTCCCAAAATCCAAACACGGTAAAGTATATCAATCGAGCTAGCTAGATGAAAAATCAAGATTTCGTAAATCGTTACGAAATTCACGTAAATATCATTTCAGTCGGTTTTATATTGTTAAACTGACAATTTCATGAATTATTAATCGAGTTTGGCGGTGTAAATCGGTACAATGAAAGAGGTACATAGCCAAATACGATAGATGACCAAATGTCGAACTAGCGATGAAAATGGCATTTTATGACGATAAAGGGACAACCATGTTAAAGCGATAAGGAGCAAAGGAACAAGTAATGATAGGTTTATATGCTATCGTGGTCATTGAAGTCAACCTCGTTCTGGATTAGGTTGTCTTCGGATAGAAGTTGATGCTACAAAGACATCACGTATAGAAGTAAGCTTTCTGACAACATCAGCCATCTTCATTCGCTCTCTTGGCAGCTCTGTCGAGCAACTCACGGCGATTTCAAGTACCGAAACCAAACAGTCTCTTGCACTTTCTGTCAGTGTCATCCCTTCGATTTCAAGCCCATGAGTACCGACTTCCATTGCATTTCTTCCTACCACTCCTCTACTTCTTGGTCCAAGTGACGGGACAAACATTGAGGGGTCGAGTATGGATAATATCGCATCAGGAAGAGTTGCTTTCACAAAATCGCAGATATTTACACCATCTTTGAACATCTCATTCGTAGGTCTTCTTCCCGTGAACATCTCTAGTAAAAGTACGCCATAGCTATATACATCCCCATCTTTTGAGAGAGCAACTCCCATTCCATACTCTGCACATCCATACCAAACAAATAACTTCATCCTCCGGATACAATTTGAAATCGAGACAATGGGAAAGTGCAAACACAATATTTGAATTAGTTTTTATACCTGGAGGGGCATAACCGATCGTTCCTTTAATTCCGATGGTGCTACTTTTCCTTTGGGATGAGCTACCAGCAGTACCGGTTGACAAGATCTTCGCCAAACCAAAATCCCCCACACGAGCAACCATGTCCGCATCCAGAAGTACATTGCTAGGCTTCAAGTCACAATGGACGATTGTGTTCTCGCAAAGATCGTGAAGATAGTGTAGTCCGGATGCCACATCTACCGCGATGTTAAGCCTCTGGGTTAAGCTCAGGTTGCGATCGGAGTGCAACCATTCTTCTAGACTCCCATTGGGCATAAGCTCAAAGATCAGAGCCTTGAAATCATTGCCTTGACGATCCAAGCTAGAGCAGTAGGTTAGGATCCTAACCAGATTCCTGTGTCGAATATTCTTCAGTGCATTGCACTCGGCGAGTAAACTTTTATGAGCTCTCTTATCCTGAATTTTGAGTACTTTGATTGCTACTGGAGTCTCAATTTGTTCGATTACTCCTTTGTAGATGGTGCCAAATCCACCGGACCCGATCAAATTCTCGGCAGAGAACCCATTGGTTGCTTTGCAGAGATCTTTGTAAGAAATCCTGACAAAGTGGCTTAAAGCAGAATCTTCGTCGCAAGTCTTCTTCTTCGATCTCCTAGACTTGTAGTGAAGCAGCAACCCTAATATAGAAATGAAGGAAAACGTCGATACCAAGACAATGATCATTATCAGTTTTACAGTGGCAGCTCTTTTCTGCGAGGATCTTGCTTTCGTCGGGCAATATGGAAAATGGAGCTCCGAGACGCCATTACAGAGCATGGGGTTGCCCATCAGAAATGTTCCACTCACATTTGCAAAGATCCCTTTCGTTGGGACCTCACCTCGCAGATTATTGAACGAAAGATTCAAATACTTCATAGTTTGAACATCTTGCAAACCAGGAGGAATTCCTCCGCTGAAATTGTTCAGGGAAAGATCCAAACTTTCCATGGCTTTGAGTGAAGCTAATGCCAGAGGAACACTCCCACTCAAAGAGTTCTGCTGCAAATACAGGGTTTTCAAGCTCTTAAAATTGCCAATTGTATCAGGAATTTCACCTGTCAGGAAATTGTGCGATAAATCCAGAGCTTCCACGTTTGTCAGATTCCCGATTTCATTTGGGATGCTGCCAATGAACTCGTTCCGAGACAGGTTTAACCCAATCGAGAGCGAAGAAAGCCGGAAAACCTCCGCCGGTAACTTTCCGGTGAGTTTGTTGGCAGAGACATCCAGTAAGTTAAGCTGACGGCAGCTCCCGAGGCTCAGAGGAACAACGCCTTCGAGCATGTTATCAGAAATGTCGAGTCTGTTCAATTGGCTCAAGTTTCCCAACGACGACGGGATCTCACCGGACAATTGGTTCCCCTGCATCCACAAACCCTGTAAATTCTGAAACCCGCCAAAATAAGAAGGGATGCGCCCTGTGAAAGAGTTTTCAGACAGATCGAACTTATTCAAGCCGATCAGATTCTCCAGCCCTCGAGGAATCTCTCCCCGAATCAGGTTGATCGATACGTCGAATTGATCGAGCCGAGCTGACAGATTCGCCACAGAATCAGGTAGCGACCCACCAAGATTGTTCATCCCGACACCCAATTCCTGCAACATGCTGCAATTGCTCAACCCTGTGACGAACTCCAAATCGCCAGAGGAATTGGTTCCAAGATTGTTCGCCGCCGCATTGAAGTAGACGAGATTCGGAAGGCTCCCCAGACAATCAGGAACCCTTCCTGACAAGCTGTTCTGATTCATGTTCATGTCCCTGAGCTTAGACGCGTTGCAAAATGATGAAGGAATGGGGCCGAACATCCAATTCAAGGAGTTCCCGTAGAACAACAGATTGGGGAGAGTAAACCCGATATCGTGCGGAATTCGGCCTCCGAATTGGTTGTAAACCAATGTCAAGATCGTCATGGATGACAAATTGTACAGAGAAAGAGGGATTGTACCGTTGAGTCGGTTTACTCCCACGACGAATTGACTAATGCTGGAGAGCCGAGCCACGGTGTCAGGAATTTGTCCCTCCAGGTGGTTATACGCAACACTGAAGATCTGGAGCCTCGACAGGTTCCCTATAGAAGCCGGGATCGGGCCGGTCAGATCGTTGGTTCCAATTTTGATCACCTCTAGATTCGACAGCAGCCCGATTTCGTCGGGGATTTTTCCGACGAGGCCCGCTGCTGCGATCCTGAGGTCCCTGAGCAGGGAGCAGCGCGTCAGGTTGGTCGGGATCGCGCCTCCGAGTGGATTGTAGGTGAGATTCAGCGTCCGGAGGCGGCGGAGGTTGCCGAATTGCGGCGGGATCCCGCCGCGGAAGCTGTTGTACATGAGTTGGATGGACCTGACGAAGCTCAGGTTGCCTAAATGTGGGGAGAGGGTGCCTTGGAGGTTGTATCCTTGGAGGATCAGAGAAGTGACTCTCCGTTTTGGGCTGCAGGTGACGCCAGCCCAGTTGCAGAAATGGAGGGAGCTGTTCCAGGAGGTGAGAACTCCATCTGGGTCGTAAGTGACTGCTTGCTTGAACTCCAGCAAGGCTAATTGGTCTGTGAAGTTGCTGCTGCGTGAAGCATTTGCTTGGGGTGGAAAGTGGAGTGAGATCGTGAGTAGGAGAAAGGAGAGAAAAACAGAGTTATGGGTTTGCTTCATTGTTTGTTTCAGGGGACGAAGCAGGGGAAGCTTGTGGGTGGAAAAATGGTGGAGAGGAGGAGGAGTGATGGCTTTTTGTTTGATGCAGAGCATGCAGCCGCCACAAGACTTTTTGGTCAGTTGACTTTCAAACTGAACTTTCTATGTTTGGTATAATTTTCATAATCTCCGTAATGAATAATGATAACAGGTGGATTGAGATTAGTTATCATTAGAATGTTTTAGTAATCTTCTTACAACTAATCGACAAGGATAGTTTTGATTCACATTCCCTGAATGCAATGCAAGTTACTGTATAAACTATATATATGACATGCCTCTGCAAATTAGTCAACAAATAAATTAAGTCTTACTAATTTGTTTTGGTTAAATACTTAAGAATTGTAAAATGTTACCGAAAAAGTGAGTGGTACCAACTTAGATTTTGGTAGGCGGATTTTCTAGTTGGACCGTCGATACAATACAATTTATTAAACATTGATAATACTCAAAACAAATGAGAAAAAGCGCGAGGGAACTAGGTTATCATTATTTATCAAATCTCAACTGACGTGAAGTATGGGCCCGAAACAAGCTAGTACACAGATTAATCAATAAATCATCGAGTCGAGCTAGCTTACGAGTTACGAGTAGGGCGAGTTAACTAAAATTCCCAAATTTACGTCACACGGATCGGCCGCCCAGGCTGGAATATTGAACCTGGCACTAAGGGTACCTTATGGGCCATGGGCCCGTTCCTTTGTTTCGTGGGCTGAATCCCCAAATACGGATTTACGAACTACCATATATAGCGTGTGTAGGAAGTTGTATTGAATTCTGACCTACGAGCAAGAAGTACATATCAGAACCTCAAAAACAAACAGGAGTAAATTTCGATGGTTGGGAGGAGCGGTGGAGTTGGTTTGAATTTGAAATTGGATGCATAGAGATGCCAATGCCATATGATATGATACGTCTTATGTGCAGAGCATGCAGGGACCAAAACATATATACATCACTCGTTGGTTATTAATGTGTGAAATATTATTATGCAGTTAAAGGGCCCTAAAACTGCCATGGCATTGTACGAACTAGCTACCTGCCTGCCAATTTGACGTCAGGAATCCTTTCTCCATTGAAAAGGTCCAGTAATATAAGTAGCCACTCATAAATAGGCATGTTCAATTCTTTGTCGATAAACTCGACCTATTCAATGCTACAAAGGAGTAGATTATACATATAACAAAATCATAGCGAATCATATTTTTTTAACACAATTTTTATGATGATGAGATCAAATGTTTGGACAAAAATAATAATCAAGGGTTTAAAAATAACCCGCTACCCTGTAAAATATAATTAATAATCGTCAGACCTCAGATGGAACTAATTACTGTGACGTGTACCAACGGAAAGGCAGGGAGGGAGGATATTGTAAAATAATCAAGCACTTCATTCATGGTAGGAATTGACGTCTACTGCTACAAGATGATCCATTACAGCGATTCTCCTTTGGCGATTCCTGCTCCCGCAATTGAGCTACCGTACAAAAACCATCAAAGCTTGCAATATAACTGAAAATTCTGACCAAGTAACTGAGATAAGTAAGGCCTTAACTTCGAGAAATACTGATTAAGGCCGCCAACTTTTCTTATTAATAAAGATAATTGTTGGCATAGAGTTTGCATTGAGTACGTGATGGATGTTATCTGCCCGATATAATACCAAACATTTTGAAATTTGTTAACTTTCAAGTTTTTTTATGCGACAAAAATAGGCAACAAAAATATGAATGATCAATTGCTTTTTCCCCCTATAGTAGTATAGTTGATTAGAGTAGAGATAAAAAGTTGCCACCATCTCCTAGCTAGCCTGAGGATAACCATGCACATTAATTATCGAGTGAAATCTAAACTATTAACTTACAAAAGGAAGCTTTAAATCAATTCACGGGCAGGGGCGGAGCTACAGCATCCTTTGGGGGGCCCCGGCCCCCCCGAGAATTTTGAAAGTCACGTGTAAAAGTTCGGTATTAGACGTATAAACTAAATGTTATGTATAAAACTAACCAACGTGAAAAAAAACAATAAAAGTCTATGTAGTCTAGTGGAATCCCCCCTTGCCCTCTCAACTAGTGATCAAGGTTTCGATCCTTGTGGGAAGCATGGTATGTTTTTATCACTAGCTTTTTTGGTAATAGTTTATGTTTTGATTCCTACATAGTCAATTTAGTCTATGATTTTCATAATAGTTTATTTGTCATTCAAACTATTTTCAAAATTTCAAGGATAGTTTGAAATATGATGAATATTTTTAGTTATATGGCCTTTAAGTTTTTATTTAACTAAATTTTTTTATAAAATGCTTAAAGTTTCATAGTTGGTTTGTTAATTATTTAATTTTAAACAAGATTTAAGTTTTTATTTAACTAAAAAATTGATCAATGCTTGAACTTTCATATTTCGTTTGTTAATTATTTAACTTTAAATTAGATTGATTAAATTCTTCAATTTTAAGGTTATTTTTGAATATATAATGAATAAATTTGGTAGAATATTAATATTGGTAGACATTCGCCTTTAGTTACTAAAATCGTTTACGCCACAAAATATTGAAATGAGTTAGTAATTTGTATATAGTTTTCTGATTTATTCCAAATTTAATATAAATTTGTTGTGCGCTTTTAATAAAATAAAATGAGTTTTTGTTTAATAGAATTTTAGCTATTTACGGTAAAGTATCAAGAGAACTCCGGCCCCCCCGAAAGCTAAATCCTAGCTCCGCCCCTGTTCACGGGTGTAATACTTTTTAAGATGTGACTTAATTAGTTATAATATAGATGAAATCAGAACCATCACTTATTGGGATCACGGTAAAGTACTTGTTTTCTAAGGTTACTAATGACACAACTTAGAGAGACAAGAAGCACCTATTTTCGACCAAACATCATATTTGTTTGGCCTTAACGTAGAATCTCAACCAACATCATATTTGTTTGCAATAGAGATCAACACAATAAATTAGATTTAACTGATTTCTAATTATATATATCATGTCATTCTTGATGATCATCAAACCAAAATATATTAGCGACCGACAATCAATATTGAATTTTATCATATTTTATATATGAATAGTTTACCGTCATTTCTTTAGCATTTATTGGTATCTTATATTGCGAATCAAGATGAAAGAGTTACCAAAATATATTTATGAAAAACTAAGAACAGGGAAATAAACACCACATTAAACCGTTAAACACTTCAAAACATAATTACAAATACATAAATAACAAAACTAGTAACAAGCAGACATTAATATCTGCAACACATACAAACTACGCTTCTCATTATTTAATTATACCATAATTGTCCTTTAATTCTTAACTAGTAACTACCATCTGTATAATAACAACTTTCCCTTTTAATTACCACAAGAAACCGCTGAAACACCCAAACAAAAAATAACTAAATTCATGCACATGAAATACCAACCGCCGTCGCCGCCGTGAACCTCTCCGACGCGCTCCTCCCCACCCGCGAACTAACATCCGGCGGCGACGCCGCCGCCACCCCGAAACTGTCCCCGCCGCTCTCCGGACCCTCGGGGATCGTGCAAAGCGCCCCGGTCTTGTCGTACATAAAGTAGACCCCACTAGACCTCCGCTCCTTATCGCCGCTCCGATTGTGACCACTGGACGACGGCCTTACAAACACCGACTTGAAAAACCGCTGCACGGACTTCGAGATCTTAAACGGCGTCGTATGGGCACGCTTCTTCGCCTCGGAAACCGGATCGCTGCTGTTGTCGATCATAATAACATTCCTAAGACTATTCTTCTTCGGGGGGCGCGCCGCCGCTGACGACGTGGCGGAAGAGGCCGGGTCGGGCGCGACCCGGCGGTCGGGCAAATGGGGCATGGAGAGGGTCCGGGAGTTGATGGCGGAGGAGAGCTGCTTCTCGAAGGATCGGAGCTCGAAGGAGTCGTAGAGGGCGCTGTCGCAGTCCCACACCGGCCGCTGCTTCGTCGTCGTGACGGCGGCGGGATTGCTGAAGCTGTGTCGCTGCGGGCGGGGCGGCTTCTTCTGTTCCATCAGAGCGGAGGCGGAAGGGAGAAATTCGGATGATTCAACGAATTGGGGATTAGTGGGGAAGTGACGAAGAGAGAGGGGGTAATTAGCATGAAAGGTCACAAACCTATTCACTTAGTACGAAATGGTCACAAACCTTTCATTTTGTACGTTTCAGTAATATATGTTTGAGAGAATAACGAAATGGTCATTCCGTCCATCTCCATCCAAAAAAACCGTTAGATTCGTCTAGTCACCATGCCATGTCACATAAAATATTAATAAAAAATTTAATGGCCAAATTCAATTGAACCGGACAACCCAACCAAAAACCCTAATTTTATACCACTCGAAATCTTGGAGACTTTTTTCACTCGGCCCTTATAGAGCGATTCCGCTCCCCAGAATGGTGCCCTCAGAAATCTCCAATCACCGATAGTTTCTGCGGTAGCGCCGCCGACCGAAACAAACGGAGGTTCGCTTCCCTGGTCGGGTCGCCGCCCTGAAGCAAACTCCCCCCTCTTTCCCCTGCTCACGTCGTCGTTCTGACAGGCGAACGGGGCCGCCGCTTCGCGTTGCCGCACTGAACCAGACGAACGGTGTTGTTCAGAAACTAATCATCGAGGAATCCCCAATCGTCATCAGGATGACGGTCGCTAGCTGTAGTCATCGGATTCGGAATCTTCGGTGTTAGTGTCAATGATTGCGACGACATTATTCCAGGCTCTCTTCGATCCTACCATTCCAGACTTGACGACTGCCATTTTCTGATCGCCGGTGGTGGAGGTCCTATCGGCCAGGACCTTCCCGCAAGCGGATTAAGATTTGTAATTTCTTTTGTTGCGTTACGTATTATCACGGTGGGCAATTGGAAAAGATAAAAAGGAAGCGTAGAGGCCAAAGGGAGATTGTTTTAGGCGCTTACATGAATTCCCCTTTGCGAACTGTTGAGCAAAGCCCTGGACCAGAGCATATTCCGGTCCAAGATTGATTGATTGATGGGTGCTGCTGTGGGAGAGTCGGGGAAGCGATCGACATGGGGAGTTCGGTTCAGGCCGCCGACGCGGGCAGAGTGGCGTCGAGATCTTTTTTTCAAGGAAAGAGTCTCCATTATTTCGGGTGGTATAACATTAGGGTTTTTGGTTGGGTTGTCCGGTTTAATTGGGTTTGGTCACTGAATTTTTTATTAATATTTTAAGTGACATGGCGTGCTGACTGGACAAAACTAACGGTTTTTTGGATGGAATGACCATTTCGTTATTCTCTCAAACGTATGTTACTGAAACGTGCAAAATAAAAGATTTGTGACCGTTTCGTACAAAGTGAATAGGTTTGTGACCTTTTATGCTAATTACCCAAGAGAGAGGGATCGGGTTTTAAGGATGGGGAGGGTAGGTTGGTAATTTGGGGTACGTCGGCTGCGATCGGGTGAGAAAAAAGGGGAAAGGCACACGGCGTTTACTTATGGGCCATAACATTATTTTGGGCCTTTTGTGATTTATTTAAAAATGTTTTTTAATTAATGGTTGGGGACGTGAAGGCATTTAATTTGGGGCACTGTCGTCCTATGGTAGGTCAAAAATCTCAGTAGTAATATGTGTATATCATGGGAGTAATTTACTAATTGTACACTCGCAGCAACCATGATCATCGTTAACTTTTTTTAATTGTGTATAAGTTGACACAATCAAATAATTGTTAATTGATTACCATATTTCGTACGTCCAATGTGTGTACGCCATGAGACACTCCCAAAGAATAATCTCTCACAATTAATTAATTAGCGTAGCCTAATAATTCTACGTGTTTGACTAAGACAAATCTCCAAAGATATTGATTTTATCTTCTGATTATGGACTGAATATGTATTCTATGCTATCTTGATACTCTCCATTATAGGAACCTGACTAATAATTAACCCACTAAAAATGCAGCTAATTATGCATTGCCAAGTTCTTTTCTGCACCTCTCTCTCTCTCTCTCTCTCTCTCTCTCTCTCTCTCTCTCTCTCTCTCTCTCTCTCTCTCTATATATATATATATATATATATATATATATATATATATATATATGATAATGCATGTGATATGATAGTTGGATCTCTCTTTCTAAACGAACTCCAACCAATCTCAACAGTCAATTAATATTTTCAATAAATTGAACTTTGGGTTTGAATTTAGAGAATTGGGGCATGTGGTTTATCCATTAGAGGTTAGGAACTTAGGATATAGTATCATATCACAACCACGATTTAATTCATGATCTAGATAGAGATATCTCACTAAGATTACCTGGAGTATTGAACGAATTTTCTCCTTATTAGACCTTAGATTATGCAACAATAACTAACTCGATCGGCATGATGTTATTACAATTTTATGATGATCTTCTAATAACTTGTTATCATACTTTTATTATATCTCCAACCCGATCCAGCTCAACAATTATGATATTGATCAGTACTATTTCACAACCTATGTGTAACAAATAATGAGCCTTTTGCAAACTTGCTAATTGCTAAGCTTTTCGGTATACGTACAATATCTTCTATGAATAGTATAGCATATAATTAACTACCAGTTGTATTCAAACCAAAGATAGAAGAAAAGGGTGAAATACCAGAGTACTCTTTAACTGCCAGTATATAATACGTGGCTTATTCTGAACTACATATATACGAGTCAGAGGAGATGGCTAGCTGCCGGCCGGCTGGCCGGCCGGTGAGAGAAGATCCTTCAGAGTCCGAAGTTGATATGAACCATTAATTACTTTCCCCTGCATCTACGATTCAATTTTCTATTGGTGGAAAAGACTGCAAAAAAAGATGGTACAGATAGATGGGTCGAGGAAGAAGCATACCATAATAAATAGGCTCAACTTGATTACACGCATTAATTACGTTGCAGTGCTTGACCCTCCATACACGAGTTTTTTTTTTTTTTTTGTCAACAAATATTTCTTTTTCCCTAGGACTAATTTCAGATCTAGATAGTAAATTAGTAATTGATTAATGGACCAGTTTGTTTAAGTTTATCGGCTAGCTCTCCACTTCACATCAGTTTCGTATGCGAACCTAATGTAAAGCATCACAAAATATAATGGAGGATGTTTTGTATTGGAAACGGTATATAGTTATGTTTCATCAGATTGAGATGGAAGTCACATATGTCAGATTTGAGTGTTTGCGTTAAAGAATTTTTTTCAGATTCAATTCATAAAATTAGGAATTTATTTCCTTGTTCGCTCAAATCCGAAACCCAAACCAGTACGTCGATATGATCCATCTATGCTCGGATTTTCGAAGTTCCCTGGATCTACTGTCCTTTTCTATGTTCGTGATTAGGTTTGCTCGTGGAATCGGGCAACAGAAAGAGATGGAGAACCCATTTCCTTCCTTTCTTCCTGTGTGGTGGTGTTGCCTTAGTGGATTGCTTCACTGCCAACTGTGTGTCTCTTTTGCTGCGTACACCACCAGGTCCATCATTAATGTGAATCATCAGATATTGATTAATTAACGCATAAATTCCTTCATTTTCTTCTTAACTAATAATTATTATTATCATTAGGCACCTGTCAGCGTAGGGAAAGATATAATGACCTCCCTAATATTAACAATAACAATAATATTATATTAGCAAACAACAAAGTTGTGACCTGGCAAAATGATATTTTGTAAAAAATAATAATATTTTTCCCTAATGTCTTGATTCGCGATTATTGTTTATGATACAGAGAACTTAACATGAATAACCACGTTTCTGCAGGAAACTCATCAACCCATATTGGGAATGGGAGAGGTGAAGATCTTCACATATTTTGCGAGTACAACCAAGCGACATATTATATTGCTAATAGAGGCCAATTACTAGATGTAAACATTCATTATTTCAATACTACTGATCCATATTGTTATTGAGCCTTATATGACTTCGTAGCCATCCAAGATACAAGCTTCCATTAAGAATTAGGTATGACAACTAAACCCGAATTAACGAGTACCCCAACCAACCTGATCAAAGCAGTATAAACTCGGTGTTGGGGCATTTTGGGGTCGAGTGCGAGTTTTACCAGCTTTTGAAATGTGTGGGTTGGGTTGAGTTTGGATTTGCCAAATCCAACCTGCACTCGTAGAGCAAAAGTCATTTTGTATCTAACTGAAACAATTTCAATAATTTATGAATATTATTAGTTTATGACAATACAAATCATTCAATATGGATAATTTATGGATGTTAATAGTCTTATAGAGATATATTTGTAGGAAAAAACTCAATAACATTTCAATGTGATTATTCGAAAAAATAATATATGATTATGGTCGTGAACTTATGAGTAACCATGAACTTATGAGTAACCATGCATCCATGATTATATCTGTTGGGTTGAGTTTTCTTTTCTGAAACTCAATGAGTACTATAATTAATTCTTTTAACGGGTGCACCAAACCCATGCATCTGTGAATACACTGTTGGGTTGAGTTTTTATTTCTAGAACCCACTTAGTGTTATATCAAATATTTTGAATGATGCGTACGTTGAATTGGATTTGAATTGCAAGTTTTGTAACTCAAATTACTAAAATTATGTTTTAATTGTCACATCACATATTTAATGGTCAATTATTATAGTTGATTGTTACATAAGCTAAAGTTAACGGAGACTAAGGGAGAGTGACCAAACTTGAACCGTTGAACTAATTTTAGTGCCATGAATGAAATAAAATAAGTTTAGTAGAAAAACAATTTAGTAATTGCAATGACTAAGCTTACAATTTACCCTAAAAAGAAAAACTCAACCTTACCCGAACCGTTGCTATCTCTACTCCCAGCCAAAACTATAAGAACACTTGCTAACAAGCAGCAAACTGATTTTGAATGTTTTGCTTTGCATTACCACTGGGTCCATAAAGTGGAGAATAATCTGGGCCTAACGCAACTAATTTTTCCGAAGACCATTGGATGAACACTGAGGCCCAACCCAACGAATGAACCACATCTGGCACCTGGGCCATAAGCCCATAATCCCTTTGTTTATCAACTTTCCCCCAATTATAGGCCCTGTTGCCAAAGGCGTTTGTATTTCAATTGCACTGATAGTCTGATACACAAAGATACATCTCACCATATGAAAGTCAGGGTCAAACGAATGCCTTTCTCCTCATCTGCAGTTAAACCTCAAAACCCCCAATCCCGTATTTCTAACTAACATGTATTATCTACACCTTTCTTCCCGCAAGCATATGCCCTAATGCCTCTCAGTTTCCTCCACAACACTAAAATTTTGCCCCCGAACTAACGCAATCTCGTCAATCAACCACATCACTGCTGAAAAGCTTGAACTTGTCAGCATCAAGAACAAGCTTCCTAACAGAAGAGAAAGCCCCCAAGAGTCCCACCCCTGTGAAAACAAACATGATCGCTATGTTCATCCAATACATGACAGAGGATTTGGATGGCCTGTAAGTCATGTTGTAGAGAAGCATTGGGAGGATGAAATCCAGAGGGATGAACCCTAGTGCTCCCACGATCCCATTAATGTCTCCGAAGAACGGAAGCATGGCTGCCAACAAACCGCAGATCCCCATGTAAAGGGATCGAAGGACGATCCTGGGTATCAAGTTTCTCATGGAGAACATCCCTCGATTCGGGTCAGCTGATTTCTTCTCCATCACCTCAAACGCCACTTGAGAATACACCTGAAATAGGAAATGGAAGGATGGTTTTCAATTTCTCAAGTGGGTTAAGGTCACAATTGAACTCAACCAGTCGAATTCGGTGGAGCTTGAAGTTGATTACCAAGCCAATGGCGAGAAGCTGGAAGAGCACACAAACAACAGCACCACCAAGAATCCAAGTTGGGGCCAGTGCAGGGCCAATATCAGGGATGAAGTTGTTGATGATATTGGAGCTCGATTTGTTCCCAAACACATAGTAGCCGGAGACCGAAACAGAGTAGAATGTGACTAGGATCACACTGTAACACATCACCAGTCCTTTCAGCATCTTCCCGGTGGCCGGCGGAGCCAGAGTTGCCTGATTTCAGAAGTCAATGGTGTGTGAATTGAACAAATTGATGAATATGATGTGGTAGGGGAAAGGGTTAGAAGGAATGCGTAAAATTTCAATTACTTGGATCTCAGGCAAGATGCCATTCCCGAAAATGGAAGCTATGATGGAAATGGAAGTGAAGGCACTGAAGACTCTGTGCGAGGGTGCAGACTCTAACGAATAGTCCCTTGAAGGTGCATGTTTGGACATACCTGAAAGCATAACCATTGGAATTTTGGACGGTTGATTAGACTTTACTATGAATGTTAACAGCTAGTTTTTCTTTTGGAACCATGGTGTGATAACTATGACCACGTGGACAAAGTATATCCCTGCAAGCAAACACTTGAATGCAGCCAAAAATGGGGCTCCTCAATTGACATCGTGTGAACCATAGTGTGAGGGCGTCCCAACAGGGATGAACCCATTCACACACTAATTGTCAAACAATCACTGTCCCATCCCGTCTTCTACCAGAGACCATGGCGATTCAGTCGACTTCAGAGCATCAATGACTGATATCAGGGAGGGGACCCAGTTCTCGATTTCGTGTAGGTGAACCGTGTTTTTGGAGTTAATGGGGGAATTTATTATGCTGCCACTGGAATGGGCAAGTGTGTGGAGTTGAATCATGGCAGCAAGGGGGAACTGTAAAATTTGCAAACAGAGGAAAAAGGGAAGTAGATTGGATTTTACCTGCGTAGATAGAAGCGGCGACAACGAGGAAAGTGTAGCCGAAACTGAGGAGCAAAGAGGCCAAGTTGATGTGCCTGAGGGAGTGGAACGACGGCATCTGAGACAGCACCATCATCACTCCCGTCACCATTGCTATGAACTGCCACAGCTCCATTGATCCGTTGGGTGATAGATCCTTGTACATTATCTACTCCACCACCCAAAAAAACAGAGCAGAAAGTTACCACCTTTTTTACTCGATCAGTACAAACGAACCGAGTCCAAAAGGGGAAAAAGCTAAGCCGAGCATCTGGCAATCTCTCCCCGCACGGGCTTTCAGATTTATCAAACGAACAGAAAACGACATCTGGACAAAGAGATGGCCGATCACTTTCCACCGCCAAAAGTAGCCAGACCCAGACACCAATCTCCAAACGCAAAGAAAGCCGAATCGGATGCTTTCAGAATCCACTATATTTCTGTATTCTAATGATTTGATTTTAACCGGTGGAAATCGTGTGTGTTGGTGGTTGAATGGGTAGTCTTGTTCTCGTCAAGTTGACAAATTCAACTAATTTTCACCAGCATGTTAATTGGATTTTACCGGTATGTTAACTGGATAAGTGTACGGTTGAATTATATAATGTCATAACATCATACCACATATTATATGTTGTTCAACAATTGAAATGATTAATATACATGATCTAATTGTACCGACCTACACAAATACCAATCAATCGATATGGTCAGATTGGTAGCCACAACAACCCACTATTCAATGTCAAAAATCAACTTATCTTAATAATTCGAGTTGTTTAATATTAAAGTTGATCCAAATAACTCGGAATTTTAGCCATTAGTCTACCACACCACTAAAGCAAGAGTAAGGCGGGGGGCAATGGCTCATCCAATTCCATTTCCCTTTTCAACTAAACAGCACCCAACAGATTAAAGGCCGCGTGCTGTATTGCTGGCTATGTAGTGGGAGAGACAACGTCTTCTCGTCATGATTATCACAACAACCACAAACAACAGAAAGGCGGAAAGGAAAGTTCACAGAGCTGGAAAAAAAAAAAAAAAGGAAAAGAGAAGAAAAGGTACCTGAAGGCATTCCCCTGAAAGCAGAAGGGTGCCGATGCTGATCCCAGTGTTGATGGCGGTTTGGATCGATATCACGAAGTAAAACATCCATCCCGACCCTGTGATGCGAATCATAACAGGGGAATAATCAGGTTGTAGCTGTCCGCCATGAAAATACCTTACTTTACTACAATTGGCCATAAACAAAAGATTCCCCTGCAAATTTTCGCACGAACAATTCACAGGTTCGTCAAGTAGTGGGCCCAACCCAAAATCGGAAACCGAGTGGGCCTAACCCGACCCGGCTTCTGTGGTACCCAGAAACATTGCACCACCAAGTCAACAACCCCGTCGGAAGCGTGACTCCCCGGGAATCGCGGCGATTAGTTCATCACACGTTCCGCCGAGCTCCGGTTATTTCGGTGGAATGGATTTTCGCCGGACTAATTCAGCAGTAGTGCTCAATTAATTAGCTAAAAGCAACTCACCCAGAACGTCGGCGGCGAGCTCCCGGAAGCGGATGTGGCGGCGGCCGTCCTTCTCGCAGAAATCCAGCACCAGCGACATGAGGTAGTAGGAGTAGAAGGAGACGACCCCCATGGCGGTGAGGCTGAAGATCCCGGGGACCCACCCCAGCCCCCTGAACGCGTACGGCAGCGTCAGGATCGTGGGGCCCACTATCGCCGTCGTCAGGTGGTACCCGGCGTGCCACCACTGCCCTGCAAAGAACAGAGAGGTTGCGCCGCCGTTACTAACGAGGCTCGTCGGTCGGTCGGTCGGAGAAATCAATCCATTAGTTAAAAGAAAGGAAGAATCGAGTTAACTGGTAATTAATTAAGTACCCTTGGATTCGAGGACGAAGGAGGCGCCGGCGTCTTGCCTCCCGGAGGACTCCGGCTTAGGGGGATCTGCCATTGAGGATTAATGGCGATGAATTGGAGAGGGATTGGAAGTGATGGAGCAATTCGGAGAAAGAGGGGGGGTTCAGGGATTTAGGGAGAGGTGATTGTTTTTGGGGGAATTTGGGAGTGCCGTCAGCGATGATAAATGACAGTGACAAAGGGGAAGTCCGGCCATGTAGAAATTCTGAGGAATGAGTTGGGATTGCAGTTCTCTCTATTGAATATACCACTGATTGTCTGCGTGCGTGTGAGTACTGAGAACAAGGAAGAGAATAATAATATAGTGGGGAAGTGTTTCGCCAATAAAGAAAAAAACGAAGATGAAGAAGAAGACGAAGAAGAATAGAGTTTGGGAGTTTGGACTTTGGAGGTATGCTCCTCAGGCATCAAATAAAATACCGGAAATACCCCCTCGAAAATTAAAAAAAAAACCCCAGGAAACGTCAAACTTGGTGATGATGATGTCAGAGAAATGGATTTGCGGTAGAATAATGGACAAGAGTAGAGTCCAATCTTAGTTGAATAACGTAATGTTATGTATCCAAGTGTTGCTTTGATACAACCAGGGTACGGTTCCTTTATACGACCTTTTCAACCTTTTATTTTGGAGTTAAAAAATTGAAATGGGTCATATGATTTTTTTTTCCACGGTCGTTTAATCTACACAATAAATAAAAGCCAAATGAGAAAACTTGAAGCCCCATTTCAAATTTCCTGCATCCAGAGTGAAAGTAGGAAGGGTAGATTCGTCTTCACAATCACTTATTATTTTTTTATTTACAGAAAAATACATCAATAATGAAATTTGAACCGTGGTCTCTTCGAACAAAGATAAGAAACGTAACCAGTTACAATAAACACATTTGTGTGATATTTTTCAAATAAAAACATACAGAAGCTTAAATCTGAAAAATATAATACTTTTCCACCACGGTTAGCAACTGAAATGTCATTGATTCAAATATTGCATATATTGAATTGCACTCTTGAATGTGTAGAAGCGATGTAGAATTCTTAACATAGACTTAATTGTTATAACTATCCCAAAGTAACGATATTTTTAAACACAAAACTTTTGAGTGAATATGAGGCACATGTGTCTTTAAGAGAGGGGTAAATAGGAAAAGGTTGAGTGATGTTGGCTTGCCAAACGCGGATGGAAAAGACACTACTAATGTAAACGGGTCCAAATAGTGCCCCGACCCACTAAACGCTCAACCATCGTCGTCTCTCCAAACTTCTCATCAGACTCAACAACCGACTAACCTCCTCTACCTCTATTGTTAAGCCAGAGCAATTTTTGGAGGGGTAAATATCGAAAGATTGAGTGTTGTTGGTTTGCCCAACGCAAATGGAAAATGTGCTACTAATGTAAATATGCCTAAATAGTTTCCGACCCACTAAACACTCAACCACCAGGTTACTTTCGCTACACCTAATATAAGAGTGAAATGGGAAATGTGCTTCCCCCATTACAAAATCCATGCATCCATAGCAAAAGTAGGAAGGATAGATTCGTGTTCACAGTCATTTATTATTTTCTTATTCACAGGAAAAATACATAAGTGATCGGATTTGAATTTTGTCTCTTTGAGAAAAGACAAGAAACATAACCAGTTACAATAAACAAATTTGTTTAAACTTTTTAAATTAAAAACATACAGGAAGCTTAAATCTGAAAAATCATTGGAATTTTACATCATAGTTAGCTAAGTCACTAACTCTCCCCTAAATATTTTTTTGGTATTTGATACTTCTATTTTCATACTTTGATTATTTTAATTCGAGTTTAACAATTAATTCTATTTCTCTTTATCTTATAAAAGGAGAATAATTTTAAAATCGCAAGCTTAATGTCATTGGTGCAAATATTGCACATCAGACTTAAATAATATAACTACCAAAAAGCAACAATATTTTTGAACATAGAAGTTTTGAGTGAATATGTGGCACAATTGTCTTTAAGAGAGGGGTAAATATGGAAAGGTTAAGTGGTGTTGGTTTGTCGAATGCGGATTGAAAAGCCGCAACTAATGTAAATAGGTCTAAATGGTGTCCCGACCTACGTATTAAACGATCAACCATCGTCGTCTCTCCAAACCTTCCCATCGGATTCGACAACCACCTAACCTCCTCCACCTATATTGTTAAGCAAAGAAATTTTCAGAGGGGTATATATGGAAATATTGAGTGTTCTTGCTTGGAGAGCTGACTGGTGGGTTATTTAGTTTCTTTGACAGTAATGTGTGATCTCTTAACATCAATTCATTTGGTTGATCTTCTAGGTTGACTTTTGAGTTTATTAAAGATAAACAGTGTCCCGGGCTCCCGTCCTACCAAAGGCTCAACCATCACCGTCTCTCCAAACCTTCCCATCGGACTCGACAACCGCCTATCCTCCTCCACCTATATTGTTACACAAAGCAATTTTCGGAGGGATATATATGTAAAGGTTGAGTGTTCTTGCTTGGAGAGGTTGAGTGACTGATGGGTTATTTAGTTTCTTTGATAGTAATGTATGATCTCTTAACAGCTGTTCATTTGTTTGATCTTCTAGGTTGACTTTTTAGTTGATTAAAGATAAATAACTATACTTTTTGTTGCTTTTTTTATGATACTCCTTTTCAGTATCATCATTTTTCTGATTTGAAATGTTTTTGTGGTTAGTTTCCAGTAAACAAAGACTATTCTGATTAGTGTTAACATAGGGAATAACTTCAATCATACCACTTTTACGCAAAATTTATATGTAAGAGCTGAGATCATTGCCGAATTAAACTATTCAAGCTATAATGCTGATCTTCAACATATAAAACATAGTTTATTTTGAGTGAAACACCTCATGATTGCAGATAAGTTTTTACAATATGATGTTTTGTGATAGTGTTTACTTGCTTCCAGATTTAAAAGTGGGGTTCTAATTACTACAATCTACACATAATATAATAGCATGAAGGAAAAAATTCTTCCCTCATTTCAAATTTCCTGCTCCATGAGCGTTTGTAGGAAGAGTATGATAGGGAGTGTCAATTTTTTTCTCTTTCATCTGTGGAACGAGCCAACTTACCGTATACGTGCAGACTTGAATGGGCCCAGAGATTGTTGCGGCCCACAAAAACAGAACAGGTTCCAGCCACGGCCGCATCTGTTTCATGCCTCCATAGCGATCACCGTAACCGAGTCTTGGATTGTTCCGATGCTAGATCTGGACTCCACCAACGCCGAGAATAAATGAGATAATTAGAGAAAGAGAGCTTCATAATTGTTTACAAAATAATTTCCCCAATCCTTCTTCCGTCGCCTAATCCCTTCCCTATGAAAAGAAATCCAAGCATACTAAAAAGATCCAACCATGCTCATGAAGAAGGGTGATAAATTGCATGCAAGTAAAATTTAAAGGTTGAGTCATTTAATCAAATCATAATCAACCACCCCTTTTTCCATCATTTGTAAACTCTAACAGATAAGTGACAAAGAAATCCACAATATCGCTTCACTGTAACAATACAGTATTATTAAAGATTGGTGGCTTTCTCTTCTTCTTCGTTAAACTAGCGTCGAAGATATACAAAGAGGGGTGTTTACACAAGTGATAAGAGAATGGAAGATTAAGAAATGAAAAACAGAGACCGAGAGGGGTGGAAATTGACGTTCGGGGGAGGATGACATGCAGGAAAAAGGTTTGCAAAGCTAAAATTAAGGACAAGAAAACAGGGATGGGGAGAAGTGACTACCGGCGGCTATATAATTGAGATCGAGAGAGAGAAGTGAACCATGAGCCGGTGAGCACTGAGCAACTTTTTCTAGGGGATATAGGGTTTTTTTAAGCTATTTTGATTTCTCAGTGTTGGTAAGATATATATGAAAGGGCAAAACAATAATCATTTTTTATTGCTAAAAAGCAAAAATTTAACAATAAACTAATGCATGGATTCTAATGGGCTAACCGCTAACCATAGAATAAAATAGTTGAATGGGCCTGACTCATACGGGATTTGACCATCAAGTTTCAAGAAAAACAAATGAACATCATGGGTTTGTCATCCTAAAACATGCTATTTTCTCTAGCATAACATATATTATTCTATTATTTTATATATTAGTGGCTAAAATATAATGTATTTTAAAGTTATTAAATGGTTCGACCTCGACCAACCCGATTAGTCCAATTTTTATAATTTCAAATATATATTATGTAATTATTTTATATCCTAATGATTAAATTATAGTGTATTTTATAGGGGATTTTTTATTCGGTTTTCTGGAATTCGATTTCTATAAAATTGACTCCACCTCATCATATTACCCGAAATAATACTGTTTCACAAGGTAACAGGTACTCGAACTTGGTTCATAAGGCTGATTTTTTTTATTCGTTGCATCATCCATGCGTCTTTCCTGCTAAAATTCACTATCTTTATCATGTGTTTCCAAAAAAAAAACTACACAACAATACGCTATAAACCCCATTACATTCTCAAATTTCATATATCACCACCTTCCTCCGGCCAACTGGCCGGGGCCCATGCTAGTTATAGGGGAAGGTGGAAAACACGGATCGATGACACGATTTGATAAAGGAAAGTGCACCGTTCTATCAGTTAGGATGATCTTCGTTTGTCTTACGATGATTTTTATGAGATTTCTCTACTCCGGTACTCCCCCGTCAGCAGGATGCCGGCAGTAATGAAGCTGGAAGCCAACCTAAACATTCTGCGGACTGTCGTCGCCCCAACACCGAAAGAAAAAAGGTTGCATTGTTTCGTACTGAGCACATTTTTAATTTCATTTTTTCTTAAGAATTCATCAACTTCACCTCCAAAACGCGTATGCTCACTAAAGGGTGGATTGTTCCTTATGAATAATGGATATCTCTCGTACTTTGTCGATGTTCGTCTAAAATATTACATTACATTTTTTTTATTTATGAATCGATTAATTGATTTTTTTTAGTCTAATAAAGACGATTTTTCATATTTTAGACACATGTTTTTAGATAGTTTACAAGGAATAACTCAAATATTCACGCAATATTGTAAGTGTACGTTTTCACAATCCTTGTTAAGATACCCGTTGAATGTTTTCAGAAAGAGTATTCACGTGATCATTGTTACATACTTAACTAATTGTCTATACTAAGAATCCCAAGAGATCAAAACACATTCCTTAATTAGCATAAATTTTTCCGTTAAATAACGCCTATCAATTTAGCCTCCAACACTGATATCTCATGATTGAACCGCCAATATGGTACGTTTTCATGAACCATGCTGAAATCTTCATTGTCCTCCTCGTTAGAGCCTATTCCTCCCTGGCTCCCTCCAACATATGTTCATCACAGAAGAATTCAATGTCAGGAGTCTTTAACAAAACGGACAAGCTGCCGGACTATACATAGATATATATGAAGCCAAGTCCCACACGAAAGCTACTGGTGCCATGACCCATAAGTTGTTACTCAGTCCCCTTAACCTATGAAATTGACGGCAGATAAAGATCTTGCCCGGCAATGCGTAGCTGTTATTTGCAAGGATTGAGTCAATAATGAGCAATTTTGCCGAGTTTGTAAGATCAAAACTCTTTTAAACTACATGGAGGGAAGTATCTTTTCTTCCACTTCCTAATATGTGAATGCTATTGATTGCGAGGTTAATTAATTTATGTGTAGGATAAAGTTGTCAATTCAGTTTAGCTTGTTGGTCCGATCGAGTAAGTGAGTAGGGTTAATGGTCCGATCAATTTTTCTCGATTAAGTCTGGGTATATGAAAAAAATCATTATGTTGTTCATATATTTATGAATTATATCAAATCCCATCTAACATATGAGTAATAATATACAACGTTACACCTTCACCATTATATAAAAAAAACATATATACAACGTTACATACACCAAAATAAAAGTTCGTACATGAATCCAACATATTGTAAAAATTCAAACACACTCATGTGACGTCGTTGTTCAAATGTTCGACTGAGAATTCCAAAGATAGGGTCAGGTGAAAGGGAAAAAAAGGAGGCGCATTTCGCAAACCAAAGAGAAAAAATGATGTTGTATGACCTCCAACCCAAGAATCTTGTTGACACGCGGGTGTGTGACACCGTTTTCTTTATCGGGTTTGAGTCAAATTAGGTCAACCAACGGGTTGACAACCTTGGTATAGCACGCTACTTCTTTCCTGATATGCCTCTTGTTGTTAGATATATGAATTTCGTTAACCACGAAACCAGACCAATTGTTGTGTTGTGGAATTATCAAATGTTTGGACAAGAGTATTCATAGGATTATTATTTTTGACTTAATACTTACTCCTAAATATTGTTTTTCAGTTTGCACCGATGATCAGTATCAAGTGATGGATAGTTGACGTATATTTGAGAAATGTAAGAGATGGAAAAATCGTATCAACCCATAATTTGTATTTATTTCTCGTTATCAATTTTTTTATAAGATATTTCTCGTTATCAATAATCAGACATCAACATATAATTCGCTATAATTTTTAGTGTGAGAAATAAATAAATAAACAAACCCCGAAAGCTCGAACTTTCCTGCTGCTCATCACAGTCGATTTCCTCCCTTTACATGTGTTTTCGTTTAACAAATCTCCTCAATGTTTATTGACGCCGAGTTGGACTCTTTTGGTAGGTTGGTAAGTTGCCGTTGGGTTCTCTTCTGCTGCAACTATTATGCAATTCCGAAAGTGACACCGCTCCTATCGTTACATTTTTGGCGTAGCAAATGATTGTATTTTGATTCTCGTAGCAAGTTAGCAACTGTACGCGGAAATGAACAAGCAAAGACAACATATATATGTAGGCAAGACCCACACGTAAAGCTAGCTACTGATGCCATAACTTGTTACTCAACCACTCTCTATCAAATTGACGGCAGGATGAAGATCTTGCCTGGCAATACGTAGCTGTTCTTTGATTAATGACGTGAATTCAAACTGGTAGTATCGATACATTTCGAACAAATTAATTGATTTGGTGGGTCGATAAACCCAATCATCAAGTCAATTGTAATAAATACTTTTGTTGAGTTTGTAAGATCGAAACTCTTAAACTAAATGGAAATAGTGCCTCAATTTAGATATCAACGGTTCTGATGATCTTCGATCGAGCAACATACAAAAATTATAAAGATCGGACAAGATTTTTTTTTTTCATTTTAAAGTGGTCAGTTATTAAAATTTCACAGCCCGCCAGCATATAATTTCTTCTGTACCATTTGGAGACCGAACTTATAAGGCCCAAATAAATCGGCCCAAGTTTCTAGAAAGACAAATAAACCCAACTCAGACGGGCCCTCACTGAGGCCTAAGGTACCAGCAACCCGATTCGAGTCCATTTTTACAAACCCTGTCTATATATGGGTTCGGTGCCCAATAATCGATGGGCCAAGAATCCTGAAACTCTAATGGGTCAAATACAAAAAAAGTTTCATACAAGTTCATTGTAGCTAACCCCTGCCAAAGGTTCAAGCAGAATAGAAAGAATTCTCACTCTTTCCATTAGTTAGGGATACAGTCGCACCACGTAAATCGTGTGTCTTTTGCTTACAAGCTTATTATCTTTGCGCCTCTTCGTGTTTCGCAACAACCTTGATCTTTCCGCCATAGGCAACTCCTTTCAGTTATACCATATCTAGTGGGATTACATATCACCTGGGAAAGCGGCTGAAGTAACAACTGCTGCAATATCCGTGAACTGCTCATCAGCGGTACCGGCCATCTCTGCAAATTGACAAGTGCATTGTGATAGAGTCAACCACAGGTAAGAAGTTAAGTTAACCAACTACATCGATGGGTGCTGAAATGCTGCAAGTTACTTACCCACATCGAGAACGAGCTGCCTCACACAAGAGAAAGCCCCCAAGAGACCTACTCCTGTAAAAACAACCATAATTGCCATGTTGATCCAATACGTAACAGACGATTTGGAAGGCCTGTAAGTCATGTTGTAGAGAAGCATTGGGAGGATGAAGTCGAGAGGTATGAACCCGATTGCTCCCACTACCCCACTAATGTCTCCAAAAAACGGAAGCATGGCTGCCACAAAGCCGCAGAATCCCATGTAAAGAGATCGAAGGATGATCCTAGGTATCAAGTTCCTCATCGCAAACATCCCTTCACTAGCATCGGCTGATTTCTTCTCCATCACCTCGAAAGCCACTTGAGAATACACCTGTATGCATTAATGTTGGAGAAAATGTTCTTTTTCAGTATACAAGTCGTTGGATGCACATGGACATGGTGGAGTTATTTGCACCAATTATCAATTCTCTCTCAGAGTTGTAAGTCGATTACCAGACCAATGGCGAAAAGCTGGAAAAGCACACAGACTGCTGCACCACCAAGAATCCATGTTGGGGCCAAATCAGGGCCATTGTCAGGCATGAAGTTTTGAATGATGTTTGAACTCGATTTGTTTCCGAAGACAAAATAGCCAGAGACCGAAACTGAGTAGTTTGTGACCACGATCACACTGTAACACATCAGAAGTCCTTTCAGCATCTTGCCGCTGGCTGGGGGAAGTAGAGTTGCCTGTTTTTGGGTCCATGAAAAATCAATCTTAGGTATAAGTAAAGGCTCAGAGTAACAAGCACAGAAAGATATTGGGAAAATTTTAGGAGGTGCAACGAAGTAAATAATTACTTGGATCTCAGGCAAGATGCCAATCCCGAAAATGGCAGCAATAATGGAAATGGAAGTGAATGCACTATATACTCTGTCAGAGGTTGCAGACTCTAATGAATAGTCCCTTGCAGGTGCATTTTTGGACATTCCTGAAAGCATAGCAATTGGAATTGGACAAGATAACCACCTGTATATCCCACAGGTATAGTACGAACAAGATATCACCATGAATAGCAAAGATTGGGTCAGAGAGCTGTAAAACACTGGCATGACTAGATAAACCTGCAAGAACTGAGCTAGCACACAACAAGTCAACCCGAGTTGACTACGAAGTCAACATCCTACAACCAGTTAATTCACAACCTTATTATTCACGTAGCCTGAATCCAACCTTCGCCCATTTCACATCTTTCAATGTCTAAAACCTACACAAATACGGCTCAACCTAGCTGCAATTCTAGCTGACTAAAAGTAAATGATACATAACCCAAAACTCATAACCCAATCATCTTGTAACTTCATTGACCCATGATTCAATTAATTGATAACCGATCACCTCATACACCCATAATCCGATGGACCAGTTACCAAATAGATCCCGAAACCAACCAACCTGCCCGTTTTATACCTGTAACCATATATGCCTATACACATTTCAATCCAGCAAAAGTGGGAAACTTAGAATGTATGGACACCAGGCAGCAACTTGGTGTCCCAACACATCACTCGCACACATTTGATTGTCAGCAATTCCAAAAACCCCATCAACCATATAGGGATCTAGAGAGAGTCAAATGTGGAAAGGGGATAAATTTAACAGTGCAAAGGTAAGTAACGTAAGTACCTGCATAGATACAAGCAGCAACGACGAGGAAAGTGTAGCCAAAACATAGTACTAAAGAAACCAAGTTGATGTGCCTGAGGGAGTGGAAGGACGGCATCTGAGCTAAAACCACCATTACTGCCGTCACTATAGCTATGAACTCCCAGAGTTCCATTGATCCTTGTGGAGATACTGCTGCGTACATTATCTTTTGTAGTTTTCACCCCACCCCAAAAACCCATCTCCCCATCACTACTAGGTACATAACCCTTTTCTCAGCTAAAAGGGGAGCCAAGGAAAATGATAATTCACGTGTACCTCAAGGCATTGCCCTGCCAGCAAAATCGTGCCAATGGTAATCCCAGTGTTGATGGCTGTTTGAATCAATATAACGAAGTAAAACATCCATCCTGAACCTGTGTTTGACAAAAGCAAGGAAGATACTGTGAAAGCTGAAAACTTTCACCGGAAACAAACAGGCTTCTAGCGGCCCGAATTACCCACGACCCGGCTAGCAATTGCCCTAACCCGACCCGCTAGCAATTGCCGACATACATCCCTGGCCTATCTCTTCCACAATGGCAACCGCCCTACCACATACCGACACCTCGTCGCCGGCAATTGCCGGGAAGGGGATTTTGCTGTTTTCAGTCAATCGCCGAGCGGGAGAATTCTAGGGGCAGCTTAATTTTTTTTTTTAATATTATTACTAGACTAATTTAGCCAGCAGTAACTTGGAAGAAGAAGAGGGGGAGTTGGACACTGACCTAATTCGATAGTACTACTAAATTAAATTAATTAGCTAGAGAAAACTCACCCAGAACGTCGGCGGCGAGCTCCCGGAAGCGGATGTGGCGGCGGCCGTCCTTCTCGCAGAAGTCGAGCACCAGCGCCATGAGATAGTAGGAGTAGAAGGAGACCATCCCCATGACGGTGAGGCAGGAGATCCCGGCAACCCATCCCAGTCCCCTGAATGCGTACGGCAGAGTCAGGATCATGGGGCCAACTATCGCCGTCGTCAGGTGGTAGCCGGCGTGCCACCACTGCCCTGGAAGATCAGAGACAGCCGGCGGCGATTATTCGCAAGGTCATCCTCACTCGGACAAATTATAAGTCATAAAAGAAGAAGGAAGGGAGAGTACCCTTGGATTCAAGGACGAAGGAGGCGCCGGCGTCACGTTCCCTGGACGATTCAGGGAAAGAATCCGGCTGCGGTGGCTCAGCCATTGTTGATTAGTTAAATCTCCTTGGCGAGGACAGTTGGAATAGAGAAGGTGGGAAGAGAAGAACTAATAAATGTCCAAGTTGTTGTTTGATGTTAGAGACGTAGTAACTAGTACATTACACATTTGGTCCGTTTTAGTTGGCCGAGTGAGTCCAAACTCCAAACCAATTCAATGCGAAGTTAATTCCCATCGGCCACCAGCCTACCACCCATACTTCCTGGCGGGCGATGGCTTAAATAGTGCTGAAATCTTATGGTTGATTTGATCATAATGTTGTCACACATTCTTTACGGTTCGATATCGCTTAGTACGATACAATGAGTAGTTATGATACATTAACGTCACACATTCTTTAAAGGGTAGTACGTTATTTGGGATAGCGAACAAGAAATACTGATGTTTTAGGGAAGAATGAACAAGAAGTAATTGCAGTCCAAGTATTGAATTGAATACTAGGTCATTTGGTTCTCTAATTTGCATCATCAAACAATCACCATCACAAGACCGCAGAATCATAAGGTCAGATCCCTAGAATTAAACCCCTCCCAGTTACAGCCTTAAGAGTCCTAATTCCACTACCCCCAATTGATGATTGATGTTCAACCCGACACTTTGAACATCATTGTGTTGTTATGGTCAACTAACACTATTACCACTTCTGCTGAGTGATTCTAGGCTGAGGTCCCGGCGGCAGCAGCACATGACTTGTTGTACTCTTCCATTTCCTTCTTGTAAGCATCCATGGCTTCTGCTGCTTTCGAGTTCCAGACTTGCCTCTCCTCCTCACTCAGTTCCTACAGTACAACAAAGAAAACAGTATTCAGTCAGATTCATATCTTCCATGGCATTTGAGAAGGGGACTGTGTATGAAAGTAAGGGAGTTTCATGTGCTCTTTATTACCTTCCATTTGACAGAGATAAGTGCAGTGATGGTGGAGTTGTTGGTTCCAGGGCGCTCCTCCATCAAGCTTTTCCTTGTTTCCTTGCTGCGGCAAAACCAGAAGGGAGGATCCATTCAGCATTTTATAATTCCTCGAGATTTTCCATACATGGCAGTAACTGGTGGGAAATGGATGAATTATGTTGAGGTTTGTTTACCTGAACAATAAGAAAGAGGATGCAGGCTTCTTTGGCTTGTTAGGGTCTACAGTCTGGTCCTTCTTCTTCTTCTGTTTGATCTCTTTGGTTTTCTGCAGATCACCATCAAACAGATTTAGCGAAGACTATACTTGACATCTGAGTTCAATCAACCACATACGGATGGTAGAGAGCAGCAAACCTTGATTATGTTCTCTGTCTTCTCCTTCTTCTTCAGCAGTTGCATGGCTTCCTGCTTATGAAGTTTCAACAGTTCTTCCTCTTCCTTCTTGATATGTGAAGCTTCTTCCTCCTTTTTCAGCTTGTAAGCCTCCATCTCAATCAAATAATTCTCCTTGTTCTTCTTTGCAATCTGCACAAAGAGAAGGCTTAGACAACCTGCAAATGTACTAACATAGTGAACGGCTTTGTTTGGTTGATCTCTGGCAATGAACAAACCTCTTCATAAGGAGCTTTCTTCTTCTCAGTCATGTTTTTCCATTCTTCACCAGTAATCTTTGCAACCTGCCAATCACCCCCAACTCCACCATGAGAAAAATGAAAGGGGACGAGATAAGAAACCAAAGTGAAGAAGAAGCAGGAAATTCTTCATCAGTTACCTCAAGAATAGTCTTGTTCTCGGCAACAAGTGCAGACCTTCTTTCGTTACTGTAGATGAAGAAAGCTGACATTGGTTGCTTTGGCTTCAATGGGTCCTTCTCTTTCCTACGATAGAACAACAACACTAATATATCAGTAAGTCTGATACGGGATAATGTATGATCAAAATTCATAAACAAGGCTTACAAGAACATTAGTAAGGATTTTATTTACTTGGTTTTCTTGTTCCCTTGATCCTCAACTTCATGCTTGAACTGAAGGTACTGTTCAAGCAACTCCATGGCTGTCTTCTGCTTCTGATCATCTTCCAGAAGCTTCATGGCCTCAGTCTCGCGCTTCTCCTTTGCCATCACCTGCAGATAGGCTTCCTTTTCAGCCTGATACTTCTCCTCGTACGGCTTCTTCTCCTCTGCACTCACGGTCTTCCACTTAGCTCCCAGAATGACAGAGACTTCTTTAAAATCAGCATTTGGATTCTCCTTCTTCATCTAAACATCACACACAACAAACAGAGATTATCAGCATCATTAGCAGATATTACCATATCAGCAAGCAGAAAATCACCAATTCCTATTGCAATATCTTACCTCAGCCCATTGATCTTTGTACCAGAGGATGTAAGGTTGAGACGGCCTTTTCTTTTCAGCTCCGCCCTTCTTTTTCTTCTTCTTGTCCTTGTCGTCTTGCTCATTGTCTTTCAAGATCTGGAAGTTCTGTTAGGAAAATCAACAAACACCTTGAGTGCAAAGCAATAAACCGAGGGTGAATACATAAATATCCAAATGGAAAATCAACGAACACATAGAGCGCAAAACATAGCAAATCAACAAATCGCCTTGAATGGAAAACATCGAACCCGTGGATGAACACACAAATATACAAATGGAAATCAACGAGCATACAGAGCTCAAGATATAGAATCCGAGGATGAACAGATACACATTCAGATAGAAAATCAACAAACACCTCGATGCGTGCAAATTATGTAATCTGAGGATGAACAACACATAAATATACAGATCCAAGCATCTAAGGAGAAAAAAACGTCAAATAGAAGTGAAGGCACTCACGAGATTGGGCTTGAACTCCTTCAGCTTCTGCAATTTCTTGAGCTCCGCCTGCAACTTCTCCTGCTCTTTCCCCTTGTTCTCGAGCTCCTCTTCTCTGGCCTTCAGCATATCGTCTTTCTCCTTCAACATCTCCTCCGTCTTCTCCTTCTCAAGCTTCAGTTTCTGAAGCATTTCCTGCATCTGCTCCAGCTCCTTGTCGAAGGACTCCTGCTGCTTGGCCGCGGCTTGCTGCTTCCCGCCTCTGGCCGCCTTTCCCTTGACCTTCTTGGCCGAGGAGAGGATCTCGCTGTTCTCCTTCATCGGATCGGTCTCGGAAGGCGGAGGCAGGATCTCAGCAGGAGAGGACTCAGTGAGCGCCTGTGCCAGGACGTTCGCCTCGCTCGTCGAAGCCTTCTTCTGCTTCAAGACTTTCCTGCTGTTCTTCTTCTTCGCCGGGATCGGGGAGGAGGGAAGTGCGACGTCCGCCATTGTTGTGGTAGGAACCTGTTGCAAAATTCAACTTAGAGAGAGAGGGGGAGAGTGAGCTCGGAATTGGGTGTTTGAAAAGAGCAGACGAATGGATTTATACGGAGAGGGAAAGTAAGTAAGCAGAGCGCTGCAACGGGAATAAATTTCAAAATTCAAATGGAGATTTTGTAAATTAGGGAAAATATATTTTCTGTTTCAGGTCCCGAGGGGTTCAAATTGGAAATGGCCGTTTGAGGGTAGGATATTGACTGTCAGAATTAATTTCTTACCAATTTTTATGGCAAGGCCTGCTAAAATTCATTCAAACATCAACCACGGCCCGTTGGGCCGAAGCCCAAATCAGCCTCCGGTAACGTAAACAGAGAAAGAGGTGGGGACTCGGCCCACACAAACTGAAACTAAACGGAACTGTCATTAATCTCAAGATTACAATCATATCGCTATACTTACCTTTATAATTAATCACAACTGCGGATGCGGCTATGCAAAAAATAGGAACTTTGAACACCCAGAATGGGCAACCTTTCTGGGCAGCAGCTATACATTTGAAGAACTGTATCTTGAATGAAGCTGCTCTTCATCTTTGATTATACAAATGAACCAGCTCCCGTAAAGAATAGTTGTCATCAAATGAAACTCAACAGTCAACTCCATTCCTTCAACCATTTACCACCATCTCCATGAGCACATCATTCAAGTAATCAATTGGACCAGGCAAGCACCAGTGCAAGCAGTCCTTCTGAACAGTGGCGTTCTTATCCTTGGCAAATGGCTGGAAATTTCTGTATGCATCCGGGTGGCCATCGGGCCTCGTCAATAGAAGATTAGTGAAGTCGATGAGCTTGAAGTTCACCCCAGATTCAGCTGCTTTCGCCAAGACCTTCTCGAACTCGGCCAACTCCACCTTTCTCAGGATCTTGTTCACCTCCTTCAACTCGAACTCCCCTGCTTTCACCGGTGCAGTCTGCCGACATGTCCCTCCGTTGTGCCACTCCCCGTCCTGGAAATGGTCCGGTGTAGATGTCCTGAAGAATATCTGCCCCTTGTGCTTCGATTGCAAAATGGATTTCATCGCAAAGCCAAGGGCTTTCTCATATGCAAAGACGAATCCGGTCTCGGTAAAGTTCTTACCGGCTGGACAGATGTGGCAGCCGACCACGGTGTTGTTCTCGTGGTAGACTGCAGCTTTGAGGAACCATTTCCCAGTGGAGATTATGGCATAGTCGAAGCTCGAGTAAGCATCGACCCAGCTCTTGTCGAGTTTGTCAAGCTGCAACTGGACTTCAGATGTTGAGACGCCATTGTAGTCTTCGAATATCGCTGCCTCTACCAGGAAGGGCGCCCAAATGTTTGCCACGGTGAAGTTGTACGAAGGAAAGCTCCATGTCTTGGATCGGTAGTCCTTGTCATGGTAAACTTCCACAGCTTCTTCAACCTGAAGGGATAGATTGTTTCAGTCTGGCAGAAAAGGAACGCAGCAGAGAGAACCACTAGCAGTGATTGAATTTATAAGACATCTTCGTAAACAACCAGCAGTTTGACAAATTAAATAGTGTAGTCACAATGTCTATAGAGCTGCTACAAGAAATGTAACTTGGAACTCCAGTACATTGAGGAAATGAACTGACTACTATATGAACCTGATATTTGGGAAGGCAAAGCATTTAACAGCAAATATGCAATAGTTGCAGATGAGCAATAATGTCAGAGTTCCTGACAATTATGTATCCAATATGCAGCCACCTTCGTCTATGTGGCAGCCACAAAGAGCATTACTGTCACTTGCCACTTGCCAGTAAGACAACAAAAATTGCAGAAATATTTTTTCATCCAACAGTACAAACAGCAAGGATTGCTAACATAACCCCATCGAGGACATTAACGGACCCTCAAGAAACATTGACAGTACATTTCCCTAAAGAGCAAATGCCAGGCCCACCAGAAAGTAGCCATGCAAATCACAGGTTAGGCAAAACATCTCATAATATCAACCGTGATACTCTAAGCATGCTGAATTTCTGAAATGAAGTGACTGTAAAGGGAAATTGGAGACAATTAGAGCAATTCTCACACCAGTTACTCAAACCAGTTTGCTATCAAGAAAATTCATTATTGTACACCACAACAGCACAAGCATTACAAGAACTAGGATACCGACCAGCAACCACTGCATTATAACATTACTTCATCCATCCACTACTTAAATTGGATAGATGCAGGAAGAGCAATTCCAAATCTCTTGATAAGGAGGAAATCAGAACCAGACACCAAATGAGGATCACAACAAGACAAAGCCAGAAACACATCAAACTAACATATCAACTATCTAGAGGACATACCGTTGAAAGCATGCACAGCAGTGATTCAACATGGTTGCGTGAAATTGAATCACCAATCAGCCCCCAAGCTTTATTCCTCATCAACTCCAGAAATCTCTGTGCATCAAAGGCAGGTAACTCACACCGCCGGGGTTTCCACTTCCAATACAGATAACCAGAATCAGGGCGTCCATTCTTCATACAGTTCTGGTGCCCATCAATCAAGCGGCAGGTAGCATTTGTGTACATTGGACCAGATGGTTCAGGAACCCAATCACCAACAAGAAGATTGCATTTTCCTGCATATTAAGTTTTTAACTTCCATGAGACCAGAACCCAAAGCTATCAACTAAAAGCTACTGATTGCCCTTCTCTAAATAGATCACAAAATTCCCATCAATGTGACAAGTAAACAAACTGAAAATCTCGAACGAGCTCAATAGAGACACTTCATGGATTAGCCAAACATAGCCTCGCAGTCTATCCAAGCTTCAAATTCCATGTTTGAGCAATCAATGACCGCAGCGAACTTGAGACCCACAAACTAATTTCCCCCATTTTCTTAAATCCATGGAAAGCCCACAAAAAAGTTGCAGTCTTTGGAATCACTCGGCCACTCTAAGAAAAATCCCCACACACAGAAACAGGACACTCAAAGAAGGGCCAGAACTCAAATCAGCCAAACAAACAAACAAAAAACTCAGTTTACCATCATCAGGCGCCTCGTTTTCATCTGGATCCGGCCGTCCATCTATAGACATAGTTGAATTGGAGGTTTCGGCAGCTGCTGCAGAAGAGGAAGGCTGTGGCGCCGGCGGCGGGACTGACAAATTATCAACGGCGGCATCTGACGATGGCTCCGACATTTCAACTGAAGCAGGTGGAGGGGAAACCGGCAAATAAGTTCTAGCAGTAATGTAGGAAGAAGAAGCTGCTTCCAATTCAGGTTCGAATCTGGTTGATTGACTGAAGAGGAGGCGGAAAGCAAGACCCACCACGAGAACCGAGATTCCAAATTTCAGTATCCACTGGTTCTGCTTGTTCAGCGACCACAGTTTCAAGATTTGCTTCATGGTTGCCCGAAAGAGGAACGAGATCTTCCTCCTTCCCGATTAAGGCCGGGACAGTGATGACCGACACTGAAGATTGAAGAACGAGGATGGAAAAGGAAAAGGAAAAGGAGGGAGACAGTGGTTTGCAACGAACGTGTTCATTAAACCATATCATCATTTCGGTAAGGAATTAACAGAAGGGGACAAGATTCATTCAATTTCTGTTTTTTTTTTCTTTTCTTTGGAAAGACATTCAATAATTCATCTTCTCTCCACCTTTATTCATGGAGATTAATTAAATAGAAGAGCTGGTTCAATTTCGAGGGTTTACGTGAAAAGTGACATTGGATTTGAAGTATCAATTAGGTGATCATTTGCTTTTCGTTATGGTGAATTAGGTAATGATTTGTTGTTTAATAGTATTTTTGTTGTTTCAATTGGAACTATATAGTTCTTTTAAGGTGAATGATTCATATATTTCAATCATAACTTCAGCTCTTAATCTTTGTTGAAAGAGTTAGATTGAGTCATCTTAAAATTAAGACACGATCATAATAATTCATTTACATTTTACTTGCTAAATGATATATGGTGCATTCAATGACTAGATTGAATCATTTTGTTTTGTATCCTACAATTCAAACAATTGAGCTTTACAAGGCAAGCTGTTAAGAAATGTAGATCTATGAGCTGAACCGTTAACATGACTTTGAAGGATTAGTAAAGTTTCAATTGAAGATCCAAATATAAAAGTACATGACAATGATAAGGACCAGCGTGAAATCGCAATTAAACTTTATATGGAATTTGAGTCGCCTAACACCAAAGAGGATAAAACATACTTGAAAACAATAAAAACTAGTATAAAACAGATTTCCGAGAGAAAGAAGTACCTAGAGAATACAACACCATAAAACTACAAAACAGAGAAAGGATGATATCTTTTGACAGGTTTAGCTCAAACTATTAGGAGACTTCTAGTTAAATAACAATTTTTTGTTTGACTGGGTAATTTAACAACATTTATATGGCACATGTGTTGTCTTTTCCTGTAAGGCTATAATAACTAAGCTTGTGGTTTATATAGTTGTAACTTACATCACTTTGGTGTGTAACAACAACATTTATGAGTCAATAAAAAATATTGAACCAAAGCATCTTTGATTAGTTTAATGATAAGATAATCAGTATGTTTGGCAGACACTGTTTAATAAGTTGGAAAAACATCAGTCATGCATGTCAAAAAGTACCGTGAACAAGCATTATTAATTCCCTCTATTATTAAAAAACACACCAATAAAAGAAATATAACAATTTAGTCCAAGTTCACACCGACAAAATACGATAGAGATCTATGAATTTTAAGAAATTCAACATTAATTGAAAAGATGTATTTTATATTGCAATGGAAATTTTTTTATAAAAAATCCGAAGTTAACGTGTTCGTTGTGGAGCCATAGAGAGATGTATAACCACTTGAAAAGTTATAAAGATGCACCCAGCGCAAAACTTGTGGTGCTAAATGCTAAGCCCAAAGGAGATCGGAAAAAAAAGTTGGGATGTTTATAAGTGGTACCAGAGTCTCTATGTATCCCTTGTGAACAAACATCACACATAAATAAAGCACGGATATGATCTATGGACCATAAGGAATAATCTAACCTTAACTACGACAATACGCGTTTTAGATTGAAATTGAGTTAGTTGAACGTGCTAAGTGTTGAGCAGTGCAAAAATAAACGACCTCTTTGGAAGTCACCATGAATGCATCTAAAGTAAAAATGTTGTTGTTGTGATGATGAAATTGAGTTCTTTTTGTGTGTTTTGTTCTCCATTTACACTAAATTTAGGTTGATGAGAGGCAACGAATCTTGTGGAATTCAAACGGATTAATATCTTGTAGTTGATATCATTAGGAGAAATCTCTAGCACTGTTAGACCAGTGCTATACTAATGGTGAAGTTTTGTTTCATCAGTTGAAAGAGAAGCCAAAGTCCCCACCATTGGTTACCTTTCCAGGCTGTGCCAACATTCTTCTTCTCCAAACTAATGAGATCTCTTCCCCACTCCACAACTACTAGAAACTCCTCTCTTACCCTATCTTCACCATCATCATTTCCATGGTATGGTCTCTCTGTTTTAGGACACCCCATTCCCCACCAATTTGCAGCTATATTCTTGATACTTCTTCAACCAAGATCTTGTTGATAAAGAAATCGAATCGAATTTAATCACTAGTACTTCTTGCAATACTACAACTAGATACATGTAACAACCTCGAATTTATATCACTCTTATAAAAAAGATCAATCCAAAATAGCTGGATTGACCATATATATAGAGCATTGCTTTATTGGACAGAACCAGCAGAAACTGGCAAATAAGAACACAATGAATTGTTGATAGATACATATTCATAACATCATGTCATTCCACAAATCTGGGTACCTTCATGCCAAAGCCACGCTTGACCTTCTCAACTCTGTGGGCAAAAAGAAAAACCAGCAGAAGCCAAATCAAAGCAAATTCCAACTAACAGAACACATTGGAAGTTTAAAAGAGAAGCCCTTACGTTGGAGCAAGTTTGCCAAGTCCACCTAGCTCTTTCCTCGAGTCGTTGTCGTAAAGTCTGCCATCGATCTCGAGTGTATAGAACTTGTGCTTCAAGGTAGGCAACCCTCTCTTGGACAGCAACTCCATATCCTGCTGATGGAGCTCTCTCCCATTCACAAACACGCCTGTGTTTCCAGCAGCACAGTTTCGCGGCATAGGGTAGTTGAACTCTTCGATGAAAGCCTACACACCACAAGGAGAGGTAGCAAAAATTAAACACAGCCCACCATGTCAGTTGTGTTCACCAGACAACAGCACAATTTTTTGTAATGTGAGATGATTGAGAGACTCACAGGAATTACACCAAGGCAGGGCTGCCCCATGACCCCCCAGAACCCTGCTCGAAAATCGTACCTGGTGATAATAGCAAAGCAAAAGGCGCTCTTCAGAAACCCTGATCAGCATAGGAGAGGCTAAAAAAGCCTGTTTCTTTTTAAGGAACTGATGTTAGAGGTTCTTACCAGTAGTCTCCGGGATGAATTGGCCCGGCTAGCTTCTCAGCCATTCTCAATGAGTCTTCATGAATTGGCTGTCCATTTACAAAGACAAGAGGCTTGTTCTTCTTTGCTGGTTGAGGAGAAAGAGGTTTGGCAAAATCCTTGAAGCTCTTCTTAAACACCCCAGCCAGCCTGTGGATTGGAGATGCTTTTGCATTGGACATCTCTATAGAGTCTAGAGATGAGTCCATGTTTCTGTAATCACTGAAGGAAAATTCTTCCTCCACTTCAGGAACAGCTGCAGCCATGGATGATGCATCTTTCCTTGATGCATCATTTGCTTGGTCTCTGGTGTGTGTGTTTATGTTCCCTTCCGGTTCCAAGTTCAGCGCTTCTTCCTTGGAACCACCCAAATTCTCCTGGCCATCGTGCATTGTGCTCATCGCTGGAGATTCACCATCTTTGACAGCCAGATCGATTGCACAAGAGACGTGTTGTGGGACAGCAATTTCTTTGATGCTTTCCTCTTCATCGGAAGAATCTGAAGGACTGCAAAATGATGAGGATGACGAAGATCCAGAAGAAGAAGCATAGCCCTTCCTCTTGTCACGTTCAACAATATTTAAAATCTGCTCTTCTTCTGCCTGTATACTTCCTTGTAAACCAGTTGTCTGGACCTCACAAACATTGGCAACATTTTCATGCACATCATTGCTGAGTTCACAAGAGCCATCGACAGCCTTGACATCCATTTCTTTCATCTCTTCACAAACTGAAACCATTAACTTCTTGCTTCTCAACTCGAGCATCAACACCTCCGAACAGGCACCACATCTCAATTTCACCCTATCCTTCTCCTTCATTCTTGTCTTTCTAGGCAATTCAAGCAACTCAAAGCAAGCACAACAGGTGATAAATGGAGCACCACATGCTATGGGACGACGGAGAAGCCTTCTATTATTACCTTTGGCCACAGCAGCAAGCCATCGAGATTGAATCTGTGGATCTCGCGATGTGGCAACACTATAGCCAGGCGAAGGAGGAGGAACCCCCACAGAACGTGTATCATAGCTGAAATCAGAACCATACTGTTGAGGTTCAGAGGAACAAACATGAAAATTCTTACTACAGCATGCACATGATGAATGAGCAGCAGGCTGCTGCTGCTGCTGCTTATGGTACAAGTTTCCATGTGGATGAGATTCGAACCTTTGATCTCGAGACAAATCGCTCGAGAAGTAGCCACGTGGCGCGTGGGACTGATGATATGGTGATGGAATCATCACATTGTGCTTCAAACTAGTGGAAGAAGAATCACAGACTTGGTTAAGCTGTTGTTTCAACTCATCCACCTTCCTCAGCAACTCTGCTCGATCATGTTCTAGATAAGAAATTCGAGTAGTACTTGTAGCTCTATCAAGGGGATCATACTCCTCCTTCCTAACCCTTCCATATCCATACGAACTACTCGTCGAGCATTCGCCTCGATTAACACCACCACCCATCAATCTAGTGTTCTGATAGGAAGATGATTCATCAATCACCCTTCTCGGAGCAAAATCATGAAACCCATTTTGCTTCTCTTTCATCATCATCATTCTTCTGTTGGTATAATTGTCAATTGCAGGCTGGCTTTGGTCCACCATTGATGACTTATTGCTCGGATAGGAAGGTCCTTGCCTAAAGACTCGATCTTTTTCCCATGAGAATATGGGTTTGGCATTAGCTGCATATGGGTTCATAGCAATCCCTCCCTCTTTCGCTGATAATCTCTCCAATTTGTCGAAACTGTCTCCGTCAGTTTCTCGGGGATTCTTCTTTGCTGCAGTCAACATTTTCTATTTTGAATTCTTGGGAACCAAACAGAACAACTAAAACGGAGGGGGGAGAACAGAAACAGAGTTTGCAATTGAATACCTCGAAGAACAGCAGCGCAGCTACCGCACTTGTAGACGGAGAAGTTGGGGAGCTCGGTGAGGAGATTGTTGCACTTTGGGCAGCGAACTAAACGAGCTTTTGACCCTTCCGCCATTAGTTTAATCAAATACAGATCCTGATTATTTCCGAGAAAAGATTTTGTAGCAATAAAAAAATGTCCAACGACGCTGAAACCTCAACGGCCACGGAACGCGATTCTTGTAGAAAGGCTGAAACTTTCAAGCTTCTAGAGAAGTAAACAAAAACGAGACAAGAAGGAAAGCTCCAAACTTTCAGAGCTGACTTAAGATACCCATGTCTTAGTTTCTCGGGAAACAAACAGGGTGGAGAAGACTCCCTAAAACAGAGCACGCATTGGTGAAAGAAGCGACAGAAGAATCAGAGATTCCCAATTCAGAGTTGAAGGAAAAGAAGAAGCAATTATGGGGAAGAAAATACTAGCTTGCACAGATATTCTAGAGATCGTGAATGAATTTGACTTTAAAAGGCAACAAATTTTTCCGAGAAAAGGAGAGGAAGTAAGGACCGGGAAAATGTCAAAGGCAAGAGGCGAGCGAGGTGTGCTTGTAGGCGAAAAGGTGGGAAAATGTCGAGTAACACGGCAAGTCGGCAACGCTGTGAAAGAAAGAGATGAACTTCGGCCGCTAGCTAGCTAGTTGCCCAAAGGTGAAAGGAGTAAAGAAAAGACGGTGAAAGTGACTTGACTCGCTTTCAGGGAGGAAGAAGAAGAAGAAGAGATCAAAGTTATCGAACTACTCCCACCACCATTTTCTGATTTCTGATGATTATTTCTTCCTCCTATGGCCCGGCTCCCCACCTTCTCGATTCTGTTGTGTTGTGTTGTGTTGTGTTGTGTGAGTGTGTTTTTTTTTTTAAATCCATATCAATACTTCAAGACTCGAGAGTCAAAGTGTGAGATTTAAAAAAATTACTATGTTCTGTCTAATTAATGATTTAATGACAAATGGAACGATAATAGAAGATGAATATGAGCTTTATATTATGGATAGTCATAATTTCACAATTATTGAAAATTGTTAGTATGAATGATCAAAACAAATTCCAATTTAGTGTCGTCAAGACGTCAACAAATTAATCATAATATTTTAGAGAAATTTACATTTAAATTATATATCATTCGTTGGAAGTGCAATTGTTTTTTTTTTTTAGGTGTTGTTCTCTACTTCTCTTGCATGTTTATGAGATCAAAAGCATGAAAGCTGTGAAGCACCGCCAAGGCAAGCAAGTAGCAAGCAACCTACCAGACAGCAAACTCCATTAATGCCATTCGCCATTTGTCTCGTCTATCTTCCTCCCTTTTACTCTCCAATTTAAAACCATTTTTCTTTGACTAGTTAAGAGATAATTATGAGGTGAGCAGGGTTAGTTAGGTCTCCTCTTTTGACTTTAGCAAAAACTAAAGAAGAGAGCGTGGTCAAAGATCAATCATCTTTCTCATTATCGCAAAATAGATTGTCATTAGCATTAAATCCGAAGTGAAACTAAAAGGGACCCCATGCATGCATGCAAATTGCAATCGCAAATCCTAATTAATCGAAACGCAATTTTGGACTAGGCAACCGATGAGTCTTCTCTGTTGGGTATTTTTTTTAATTAGATATTACTCTTTTCTTCAAAAAGAGTGCTTTCCCCAACTTCTCACTCACTAATCCTCACTTCCATAATTGATAATCCCATTCTCGGGTCCAATATCGCGAGCATGGAAATTTTCTCCTTTTGACTTGTTCCGAACGTGTGAAACCGTGGGCCGGGCCGGGCCCTAACTTTCCTCGCAGGGGTAACTCGATCGATCGGCTGCTTTATTGGGTTTGCCCTTTCTGTCTACTCCATAAACGCGGCCCAACTATTGCTTTCTTCATACATGGGCTGGCACCTGATTCTTTTTTGGGACCAGTAGACTGTGTGGTCTGTTGGAGTACTGGAGTCGCGACCTTTTGTTCAGCCAAGCTGTTGATGTGACTTGAATCGGACTATCAGCCGCTACGACTGGTAACCGGGGGTCTGTAACCGTTTCCTTTGCTAGATTGGATTAGGTTTAGACCCACATGGAGAAGTACTATAAATACTTCTCATACTCCTCTGTAATCTGTAATCTCCTCAGATATAGTGAAACTGGCTCTCTCTCGCCCGTGGACTAGCTAACACACATCGTGTTAGTGAACCACGTAAATCGTGTGTCTGTGTCTTTCGATTCTCGCTCTCGTATTCTTGCTTTGTCGATTCCGGCGATTTCCCGATCCGTAGCAGCGCGTTTATAACACAAGCAATGCCAATAATCTGTGGCCACCAGAAGACCTCAGATTAATGCCATCTGTGGTTACATCTTACATATTCTTACGAGTCCTAACCCTGTGTTTCGGAAGGGAGGAAAGTGGGAGGAAGGGAAAAAGGCAAGGGGAAACACAAGTCCCGAGGCATTTTCTTCCGTTTCCGAAACTTGCTACAGAATGGAAGGAAAGAAACTAGGAAGGAAAATCTACTGTAGTGCGTGACCCTCCGATTTGGAGAGAAAATAACTCTCCGCGTTGCTAGCCTTCCCATTTTCAATCACAGCTCAAGACTTTTTTCCGTTTTCATTGTTTATTAACTTCATTCATTTGTTATTTTTCATTTTCAATCCCCTAACGTTGTCTAGGTTTATTTTTACAATAACAATTGTTCTTGGTTATTAAACATAATTAATAAAAGTTCACTAAGGAAATATAATTTATAAAAGAGTAAATACAATATATTAGCCACAACTATTATGAAGCGGGGAATTATAGCCACAACTATGGAAATTCAAATTATTAGTCAAATGTTAACTCTCTGTTAACAATTCCGTTAGTAATGCTAAATAAACTTTTGTGTTTTAAAGTTATAAATTAAAAGCAGTCCGACGTGGCTGCTGTCGTGACCTTCTCCGTTAAAAATTCATTAAAAACATAATTTATAAAAGTATAATTATGATTAGTAGTTATAGGTAAATATAATTATAAAAATTCTTATTATTGAAAATCAAGTTCTTAATACTGAAAATTTAATAATAATAAAAAACAATCACCATACAAAATAATATTGAATCAAATGTTTAAAAACATCATATTCCAAAACCCATAAATAACGAAAAGAATTAGTACAACATTGTTTTTACGCGTAACATTGTTTTTACGCGTAACATTGTTTTTACACGATACGTGAAATTTATAGCAAGAATGCAAGATGTTTATCTACTTATTGGATATTTAGACCGGATCGAACCGAACCAAACAGGTGATTTAGACTGCATGAGTCACACAAAACGTTGTTTTACACAACTACGTGTAACGTAAATGTGTGTTAAGTTTCAAGTAAAACGACATCAGAGTGTTACATTTTTTATAAAATGGACGTCATCTTATACTACAAAGGTAATCAAATTTGTATGAAAAAATAAAAACGAGTTAAATGAACAATATATGTTCCGTTAACAAATAATAAAAATGATCATTTTTATGTAAAAATTGGTTATTCATAATATTCATCTTCGCATTTTTTGCATATACTTACTATTACATAATCAATAAAATAACATATCTATCACACTTCCCTATATACTTTTTCCCTCCCTCTATCCCTTTCACTTTCCCCCATAAAACAACATTTTCTCTCCAATTCCCTTCCCTTCCAATTTCCCCTCCCCTCCAAATTGTCCCTCCCCTCCTTTTCCTTCCCTACTTCGGAAACAGGGGGTAAAAGTCCCAATAAGTATTGAAACCGAAACAGAGATTACAATTTAATACTGAAGCTATACGTAATCGTCATGTCCTCGATTATTCTTCCACGAGCAACATCTCCTCAAACTGGAGCGTATATGTCGAGACTTCCTGATTTTTGACTTGCAAACTATGGAAAACAAATGATGATGAAGACTTTACAAACATATCAGCTAATTAGTTGGAAGATGAAGAACTTTGATAGTTGAATATGATCACGAATTACATGACAGTTTATTCATGTGTTTCGTACGCTCATGATAGTAATGAGATTGTCGGCTCGTTTATGATTGAAATATTATTATAATAAAATTATAATAGGTGCTAATGAATGAATGTTCAAGTCATGTAAACTATAACGTAACTAAAGAATTTTACAAGTTATACTGCTATATATATATATATATATATATATATATATATATATATATACACACTTTGCGTTTTAGAACGCCAACTAATTAAAGAAGTACCTAAGTTACTGAAACCATTAATAGGGCAAATCAATATTTGGCCAGTTGGTAGGTGATCACTTGTCAGTTTGTGGTCTTCTCGTCTCTTGGCTAGAAATGTCATTATTTAAGTTGCTTCTGGTTTAACGTAGATAAGTGGGCCAAGGCCACCCACTACCAGATTGATAGGAATTTGGGCCTTAAATACGGGCCCGTAGCTGTTCATGAACTGACTACATGGATCAATATTTTGTCACACCCTACAAATCCTTTTCGTTAATGTTTTGCTTATTATCCTCAATGGGATGACTTTTGACTTTTGTAATGGGTTTTTATCCGATGATGAAAAACACAATCACAGGTGGCAAAGAGAGAGTGTGGAGAATCGTCCGTTCAGCAGCCTGAACAGTCAGTTACTTGAAAGAGGGAACATACGAAGAAGAAGAAGAGATGTCACTGTCTGATCTCTCTGGTATTGTCTGGTCGGAATTCATTCATGGCAAGCCCAATTGCCACTCCCCAAAATGATTCCATGGCTCACAATCCATCATGGAAGTTAGGTTCAATGATGCAATATTTTGACCGTTTTTTTTTTTTTTACAAAGTTTAGTAGTGCATTTATTCCTCAACAAAAGCCGGTTACAAATGGCCTCCGGCCAGGAATGGGGACAGAAGGTTAATAACAGTAATCCAGTTTTGTGGGAGAGTCCCATCAATAAAAGATCGAGCCATCCAATCTGCTTTGGCGTTGTTCTTTCTTTGGTGGAATGAGACACAAATGTTGGGGGAGGACTCCATGATTCTTGATATAACCCCAAGTCTCGCTGAACACATCCACGGCCAAGAACTGTGGTGCTTTGTTAGAGCATTAACAAGCACCGCGCAATCAGATTTAACCTTAACTGGGCGATCCATTCTCAAAGCTGTACAGACAGCTGCCTGAAGAGCCATTGCTTCCGCTTCAATGGGAGAGGAACAATGAACCAAACCAGCTTCTCCATCACATACCTGTCCATGGTTGTCGATAATCACAAAACCATATGCCGCCTCTTGGGATTCATGTTTAAATGAACCATCACAGTGTATTTCGAAATCGAAAATACTTGGCGGTGGGCCAGCTATGCTCTGGGTCTCACTAAGTTGGTTGCGCGACGTCCTCTGCCGAGGATAGCTGCGCGGGATACCATTCCACTGGGCAAGGTCTCTGTGCGTGTTCGCCACCACAAGTGGGGGCCAAGGCATGACACTTTTTAAAGACCTTCTCATTCCTTGCAATCCAAACTGCCCAGAGGAGAAAGATGATGTGCTGCATAGTCGGATCTGGGAGTACCTTTTGAAGCTCAAACAGCCAATCAAGAACGTTGGTGAGCGGAGGTGGAGTAGCAATTGATGGGAAGCTTGCGTTCCACGCTTCACTCGCTAATCCACATCCGAACAGACAATGATGAAGGCTTTCCGGCTCCTGGTCACAGACAGGGCAAGAGGGAGATGGAGAACAGTTTCCGGCTCCTGGTCACAGACAGGACAATGATGAAGGCTTGACCGTTTGGTGTTGAGATCTGTATAGGCCCAAATGTACGAGTGTTCACAATTCGACTATGGTGCTAACCTGTCCTTGTTAGCATGTGTTAATGAGCGTGGTGCACATTGGATTAGAGTGTTGCAACTATTTTTATGTTTTTTATGGGTGTTGGAATCTACAATCTAGTGAGTGATGAGATGGAGAGATAATGAGTAGATGAAATATAATTAAATACAAGTAACTCGGGTTGAATACGTGCACTAGAGACATTAGAACAACATAATTTTTGTGATTTAATAGATTTTTCATTAGAGCCAAATTAAATTATTTGAATTGTCTCAAATTTTTTATCTATCAAGTTGTATCGCCTTTTCACCGGCGATGCCCACAAAATCCTTCTTCAACTTGTGTTCTTTTCTCCCGTGTAGATCTTTTGTCTATCTCCTTGCATTATCGATTGTGGTGGTTCACTTGCATTACAACTATATTGCGAGCCATTGGATAAAGATTTGTACACCTTGAGTACATGAACACCTTTTTTTCCCATTAACTCATTACTCTACGTTGATTTGTTGCAAAATTTACCATATACCAATGTCCTTCTCCATCACCGGCGGCCATCACTAATTCTTTACAAGGCCCTCATTCTCTGTGGCTTCTTCAAGACTGGTTTGTAGTTTTGTACTTACGATCCTTTAAGTCGTTTTTGTTGATAACCTTATTATCCTGAATTCTGAATGTTTGGTTGTTTTTTTTTTAATGAATTAAATTGAACACCAAAATTATTGCAAGAGGGGTACAAATATTATAATTTATAGACACATAATTGTTGATAAAGTAAAGAACATTTATCTCAAATATCTACATTTACACTTCACTCCACTCAATTGCTGAAGCCACCTTTGAATAATCTTAGCCTTATGTAGCCACCCAATGGCGGGGACCGTACAAGTGTTCCCTCCACCAACACCCGGCCTCACTCATCCACTCTCTCTCACTCCTCTGTTCTTAATCTCTCACTTTAACGAAGTAACTATAAAACCCTAATTAATCCTTTCAAAGTTCTTCTTTTTCTTGATTAATAATCACCTTAGTTTTTTTTTGTTGTTGTTAATAACAACTCCCTCTCTGGCCCTTTCTCTCACGTTGTCTCTCACTCTGTCCATCTCCCAAACGCCCCCTCCTTTTGTTTTTGCCTTTCTCCCCTCCCTGTCGCAAATGCGAACCCTGAATCTGGCGTAAGCAGCAGACTCTCGCACGCTCGCATCGCCGCCGCCGCCGCGCATTGGTCCGCCGGGAACAATTTGCGGGTCGCTTAAAAGGGTTTCCTTTTTCTTGTTTCCAACCAGGCTATGGCGTCCGAGGATGTGAAGACTAGTGGGGAGGCTGCTGTTTCGACGATCGTGAATCTCGCCGAGGAGGCTAAGCTAGCTAGTGAAGGTGTCAAGACGCAAGGCCCCGCTTTCCTCAGTATCTGCAAGTCCCTCGTCGCCGGTGGAGTCGCTGGAGGAGTGTGAGTGCTTTTGTTTTGTTTCCCCTGTTTTATCCCCCGTTTCTGTTCAATTTGTGGCGGCTGCTCTCTCTGACTCGTATTAGTTTCGCCTGAAAGCAGCGATCTTCTTCCTATTGTGGTTGAATCCCTTGTTCTTGGCTCATGTTTATCGATTTTGTCTAGCTTCTGGTGGGTTCCACCGATCTTTGGTCGTGAATTATTGTTGTACCAGCTGATTTCTGGGTTTAACTTATAGCTAGCTTCTCTGCTTTTGGTGTAGATTTTTTTTTCTCGGTTTGGTTAACTGGCGATTGAATAAGGATGGAGCTCTGTCAAATTGCTTTCAATGCTCACTAGCTAGTGCCTAGTGGTCTTTTTGTTTTCATGGTGGGCTCGTGAGGGTTTAGCCTGTTGGTTTCACTGTAGACTAACTGGGGGAGTGAAGATCACAAATCGAGGTGTCGCTACGCTTTTTAGATTTGGGTTTTGGTCCAATTTGATGTTTGAATGAACTTGGTTGTTATGAAATTTGGTACACGGGATTCACTTTAGTGATCCTCTTAAACCCTACTCGCTGGTGGTGGTGGAGAATGGATTTTCAGTTTGGTCGATTTGTCAAATCGTTCCCTAATTTGTTGTTGGAGAATGATGGTAGATGTAATCATCTGTTTTTGGATGGAAGGATTATACTTTTCGAACTTGCAAAGTTTCTTTGCCCCTTCCATATTGCTTGAAAGTAAAGCAAAGCATCTATTTCTGTTGGCTGCATACATCATACATGGATATGCTTATCCATCCCTTGAGTTAAGTTGTATGACATGCTGTTATCATGTATATGTTGCAGGTCCCGCACAGCTGTTGCTCCTCTAGAAAGATTAAAAATTCTACTCCAGGTAATTAATTTCCTGTTATCATGCCAGGAATTAACTTTAGCTCTGCGGTGTACGTTGATTCAAAGCCAGTGCACGTTTCTTGATTGCTCATGGAGTTCTATATGAAGAGTTGCTTCAGGTTGATGACTATTATTAACTCAATAAAGAATTCGATCTGATATGTATGCAGGTCCAGAATCCACACAGCATAAAATACAACGGTACAATTCAGGGCTTGAAGTACATTTGGAGGACTGAGGGTTTCAGAGGCCTGTTTAAAGGAAATGGCACGAACTGTGCTCGCATCGTACCAAATTCAGCCGTCAAGTTCTTTAGTTATGAGGAAGCCTCAAAGTATGGTCCTCTTCTTCCTTGGTCGTTCGATTTCTGTTTATTGACTTGCCCAGTTGGTTGGCCCCCATTTAGTTTCTGGCCTGTGTTCAGGAGTAAGTAGTAACTAGTTAAAACAAGTTCCCATTCTTTGTAATTCCAGTTTCTATAACTCTGCCTTACAAAGCATCTTCTTCTGTCTTCCTCTTGTGTCATGATCAGGGGTATATTATGGTTCTATAGGCGCCAAACTGGAAACGGTATGATAGTTTCACTGCTACCATGTCTTTGTAAATTCAGCAGCCAGCTTTAGTGGTTATTTTTTGGTGGCTGGTGAAGAGATCAACCAGTATATTTACCTCTCTTTCTTACAGATGATGCACAGCTTAGTCCTCTTTTACGTCTCGGTGCTGGTGCATGTGCTGGTATAATTGCCATGTCAGCAACTTACCCAATGGACATGGTTAGAGGTCGCCTAACTGTCCAGGTAAGAGTTCATGACTTGTCTGCCAGCGAACCTTTTTATCTCACCTAATCCTTTCAATTTATCAAAGCATGTTTCATATAATAGCCGTTTTCTTCTTTTTCCAGACAGACAAGTCTCCCCATCAGTACAGAGGTATCGTCCATGCTCTTTCAACTGTTCTAAAGGAAGAAGGCCCCCGTGCACTATACAAAGGCTGGCTTCCATCGGTCATTGGAGTTGTAAGTATACGTTTCGTTTCCTTTGGAAGTTTTGTTCATCATTACTATGGCCATTGTTATCAAATGCATATAAAGGATTAAGGGGTATTGTACTTGTAACTCACAGCCATGCATCATTAATGTTTGTCCGATGCAGCTCTCTGATGTATATACTTCCATTTCCTTCGGATGTATTTTCTTTATTACTTGTGCTTAACTAGATATTAAAACCTTCCAGATGTGTTTGATAGAGAAGTTAGTAGCAGATAAGACACCAATAGGCAAGCAAATTGAGTCAAACTGTACCTAAGGAAGTGTTACTAATTGAATCAAAGAAAGCCATTATTTTATTAAACATCGATATTAAGTGCTGTGGGCATCCACTCCCTATTTCAGAACTCACTTGAAGTATGTTTTCCCCTTTTTCTCATAATGTTCTGACTGCAGGTACCATACGTGGGTCTCAACTTTGCGGTGTACGAGTCTCTGAAAGACTGGTTGCTGAAATCCAACACATTCAACCTGGTCGAAAACAACGAACTGAGTGTAACGACGAGGTTAGCATGTGGAGCTGCAGCTGGAACTGTCGGCCAGACAGTAGCTTACCCACTCGATGTCATTCGACGGAGAATGCAAATGGTAGGGTGGAAGGATGCTGCTTCGGTCGTCACTGGGGATGGAAGGGGCAAAGCACCACTTGAATACACCGGTATGGTCGACGCCTTCAGGAAAACCGTTCGCTACGAGGGGTTCGGTGCCTTGTACAAGGGTTTGGTCCCTAATTCAGTAAAGGTCAGTACACTCAAGATTCTTTATCCAAATCAGGGTCGCTTTTACTTTACCATGGTTCGGTTCTATAACATACTAACATCCTCTTCCACGTTCTCGTACAGGTTGTCCCATCCATAGCCATTGCATTTGTGACGTACGAGATGGTGAAGGATGTTCTTGGGGTCGAGATGAGGATTTCCGACTGAATGCAGTAAACAAGGTGGGCAAGGTAGGCTTCTCGTTGTCCAGCATAGAAAGTATCAGAGGAGAAGGGTGGATCGGCTTTTCTGTGGTGAATGAACCTGATTTTTGGTGATAGTGGAGTGAGTCAGATTAGTAGAAAAGGAACACACATAACTTGTAGCGCTCTGTGTTTTTAATAACCCTGTCGCCTGCTCCGAGATCTCCACCTGAACCCCATATTTGTCTCTCTAGATTTCTTCTTATTCCTATTACTTGGCTGTGGCAATAAGGCATGACAGAAGAATTTAGGTGCCATCTACGATAGGTATTACGCAGAGAAATTTTACTAGTGAATTCAGTGAGTCGGATAACTTGGTGTTTTCCAGATAGCTGTCTGGTGACAAGCTTTATGAATGCCTTATGATATGTTTATCGAGTGATATTACCGTGTTTAAGATGATTTGCAAGCAAGCAATCAAACCACTTTGATTATGTACTGACCATATTATGTTTCAGAAACAAACCCTATAAGCAAAACCTTCCTGTTCAAGATATCGACAATGCCATTTCAGAGGCCAAAAAAATCAAAACAATGACTGACTCGGATTGTGCTGCATATGAAGAACGAAAAAACTGCGAAGAATCGGTACTCGATGGATGATGATTAATAAAGAGATGCACTAAGGTGCAGCTGCCCTCTGGCGACTGATTGGCATCTTGGAGAGTATGCCAACGAGATAGTCACATGTGTCGCGGTAGTACTCGATTGAGATGCAGAGCTGTCGTATGGCTTCTCGTTTCTCGTCTCCCAAGTACGATATCCCTTCATCTTTCTCCTTCAAGCTCGCTCCCATTGCTGCCACCTTACTCTCCAGTTGGCTGATGGCTTTGGTGAGCTTCAGCTTCTCAGCTTCCTCTTTGCTTGCCATGGCCAGCAACTCCGACGCCTTGTTCTTCAGTGCAGATTCCTCCTCTCTCGAGTGTTGCAGTTGTAGGGCTAAGCTGTTCACTTGTTCGTTCAATTTTTCCTTCTCCTGATTCATGTCCATTACCCAATCTTTAGCAATCAGGATCTCTTGAGACAGCTCCAGAACCCGGTGCTGGTACCTGTTGCAATCTTCGTCGAATCTGGAAGACAGAGTATCAAGGGACGTCATGGTGGCGTGTAGTTTCTCTGAGAGATCTGTGACCATCCTGCGATGAGCTTCATTATTTGCAGCCATGGTAGCCAAGAGAACGGTCATTTTCCCTTCCAGCTCTCTCTGCTTTTCCTTGTACTTGGCTTCCACTACCTTGAAGTTGTCTACTGTCTCGTTTAGCTCCTGCTCTGTGACCCGGCTCTTCTGGCTTGACATTGTAAGCTTAAATTCGATCTCTTTGTTCTTCACAGCTAAACTGCGCAGCTCTTCATCTTTGAATTCGAGTTCTCTCTCCTGGCTCTCGATTTTCTCTCTCAGTTCAGCTACGGTTTCATCCATGGAACCCACTTGCTTGTTCAAATCCTCCGCCTTCTTTTCAACTTGCTGCTGTTCCTCACTGAGTTGCTTGCACGCCTCTGACTGTTCATCCAGCAATCTCTGCAGATCAACAACTTGAGTCGCCAGCAGGGCCTTCTCATTTTCCATCTCTGCATTTTTTTGTGAAAACTCATTATGCTCTCTCTCGAGCTGTGATTGCAGATCAGCAAGTTGAGTTACCAGCTCGGTCTTCTCGTTTTCCAGCTCTGCAATTTTCCTTGAAAACTCATTCTGTTCTTTCTCGAGCTGTGATTGTAGATCAGAAACTTGAGTCACCAGCTCGGCCTTCTCATTTTCCAGCACTGCAAATTTCTCTGAGAACTCGTTCTGCTCTCTCTCAAGCTGTGATTGCAGATTAGCTACTTGAGTCACCAGCTCGGCCTTCTCATTTTCCAGTTCTGCAATTTTCCGTGAAAACTCGTTCTGCTCACTCTCAAGCTGTGATTGCAGATCAGCAACTTGAGTCACCAGCTTGGCCTTCTCATTTTCCAGCTCTGCAATTTTCCTTGAAAACTCATTCTGCTCACTCTCGAGCTGTGATTGCAGATCAGTAACATGAGTCACCAACTCGGCCTTCTCATTTTCCAGCTCTGCAATTTTCCGTGAAAACTCAGCCTGCTCTCTCTCGAGCTGTGATTGCAGATCAGTAACTTGAGTCGCCAGTTCGGCCTTCTCATTTTCCATCTCTGCAATTTTCCGTGAAAACTCATTCTGCTCTAATTCAAGCTGCGATTGCAGTTCGTTCCTCTCTGTCCGCAACGAATCCAGTTCACATTGCAGATCGTTTGCAAGTTCCTTGAGAGCCGTTATTTCAGCAGAAACTTCATTTTCTCTCGATGAATGTTTCTCTTGGAGGGCAGTGAACTCAAGCACTCTTTCTGATATGGTCTTGTCCATAATGGAGGTTTTGTCGTGCAAGCTCGCCATTTCATCTCTCAGCAGTCCCATCTCTTCCTTATGAGTTCTCAGTTCCTCTTCAATGTCGTTCTTCTGTTTTCCTAAAGTCTCCATTTCCAGCGTCAGCTCCTTCAGCTGTGACATGACACCATCTTTCTCCAGCAGAGCTTTCTGATGACTCTCAGTTTCAAATGATAGTTCTTCTTTCAGCTTTTCGATCTGAATGAGAAGTTCTGAGTTCTCATCAGCCTTATTCTGGAGTTGGACTCGTAGTTCGGTGACCTCTGCTGACAAGCCTTCAATTTTGACTGATGATTCTGTTTCGTATTCCTCGAGTTTCTTCGCGAGAGCAGAGAGTTCAGCTTCTTTCTCATCTGTTGCCTTCTCGAGTTCCATGATCTGGGTTTGCAGTCTCCCATTCTCGTCAGCCAGTTGCCTTGCTTCAGTCACTTTGGTCTCCACCTGGACTTCCATATCTCTGTTCCTCTCAGCCTTTACTGTTGTTTCCAGCTCCAAAGCGCTCACCTTCTCCTCCAGTTCTTTGATCCGATTGGATGATTCAACATCGTGTGCTTGGTGCTTCTCTATGAGAGATGAAAGCTCATTTTGCTTCTCTTCTAATTTCTCCTCTAGTTGGCTTGATTGGGCAGTGAGTACCTCTACAGTCTTCTGAATGTTCTGGCATTCAATCAGAGTATTAGAAATTTTGGAGGTCAGAGAAGTCTTCTCTTCCTCGGCGGCCTTGAGTTTCTCGGCCAAATCTGAACCCTTTTGCTCGGCGGATTCTAATTGCTTCTTCGTGTCAGCAAGTTCTCCTCTACTGGTTTCCAGGTCATGTTTAAGGGCGGAATTCTCACCTTGCGACTCCTCTGCCATAGCTTTTAAGACCGCTGCAGTCTTCTCTTCCTCCATAATTCTCTGGACTGCAGTCTCCTTTGCCGAAATGAGGTCATCTTTCTCTGTTTGCATCTCTTCCAGCTTCTGATTTAGTACAGAAATTTCAGCCACCAAAGATTTCCTATCTGCTTCTGCGACCGTCGAATCCTGAGTCAAATTGGACACTAACAGCTCTGAAGATCTCAGTTGCTCGTTTAGGCTGGAACTTTCGGTCTTCACACTTCCTAGTTCCTGGGAAAGAACTCGTTTCTCATCTTCCAGGCTGTTACTCGCCATTTTCAATTCTTCTTTAAACTTCTCTTCTTCTTGAATCCTCTCCAGAAGCGCCTCTTTCTCACCGATCAATCCATCTTTCTCGATGATTATGCCCTCTAATCTTCGATTCAGCTCTGCTTCCGTCTTGCCTGCCTCGTCGAGGTTTTGCTTCAGGTCGCCATTTTCTGCCAGAATTTTCTCCTTGTCCGCATTTATCGTTTCTAACTCAAGCTTCAGGCTTCCGACTATCTCGTCAGTTTCATGAATCTTGCTTAACGCTGTTTGATGCTCGAGAAACAACGCCTCTTTTTCTTCGGTTGCAGCACCGAGCTTATCCTTCAGTTGAGCAACTTCAAGATTGGCTGTTTCAAGCTCTTGCTTTATGCCGTCTATGAATTTGCGGCCTTTAAGTCGTCCATTTTTGCTGGTTTTGTCCTTGGAACCATTATCAGAATCCGAGTCTGAGCTAGATGAAGAAGAGGAATCCGATCCCCGCTTGCTGTGGAAGTCCCTCCTCAGTTCTCCCTTCAGATGGTCGTGTTGTGAATACAACGAGTCGTACTGCCTGCGGAACTCCTCGATCAAATCCACAAGAGGCTTTCTCTTTGAGCTTTCCACAGGGACTCCATCGTTTTCTTCCGAACCTTCTTCGTTGATCAGCTCCAAGATCCTTTTGAATCTATCTTCGAATTCTGTAGGATCAGGGAGGTTTATTTAGCAGCACTCTGGAAGTAACGAGTTAATAAAAATGAATGGAGAAGTAATATTAACATGATGGCGGATATTCAGAAGTACTTCAGACTGCTAAACGCCAACGGAGTCGGAAAGAAAGAAAATGAACCTTCTTTACTGCCTTTCAGCTGCTCATCATTCTCTGGATCGATATGTCTCCGGATAAAGGATTTGACAGACTTCTTCCAATCATGCTTCGTCATCTGCTCCCTTCAGGTTTCAAATCAGCGTTCTTTGCCAATATGCATCGATGAAAATCCGTTCTGCTTACATAATATCAACGTATTAGTATTATGAGATACTTTTTTTTTACGGAATATGAGATAATTTCAACAAACACCAAACAAAAAAGAAAACGCGCACAACTGCTTATTACAGACAAGAGTGGAAATTCGGCATGGACGAGCTACCCCAGAAGATCCAATTGTACAGCTCCAGCCATGTAAAAGATCAATAGAAGCCATCTCAACAACCAGATAATAAGTGAAATTGAAGCTCATTTGAAAAGTTTATATAGAGTCCATAACCAATCGATTTATATCCTAATCTAAGCTGGGATGCACGTTTAAAACAAAATACAGCTACAAAGCTAGTCGTGGCTTTCGTTTCAGGGACTGTGTGGAAGGTTACAAAACCTTACAGAAGGCACAAGTTCACTACATTATGTCACCACATATGGTTTTCTTTTCAGCACATTTGAGAGCCATTTAGAAAATCATCAGGAAATGAAAAGGCTAAACCTTGAATGTAATTCCTAATCAGAGCTCTTATTTCCATCGGTGTAGTTAACGACAAAATCATCCAGATATTGCAACTGGGACATAAAGCGGGCCTGCTTTAACTTCTTTTGATCATCCTTTTGAAAATATGAAAATGAGCTCCACTGGCATATTCGGCGGACAAAATTCAATTGCCTTATTGGGTTTTTTCCATGTGACATGTGCGTTATCAGATTTGGAAACAGCTGGAATTGATAGCACAGCAAGAGATGGGAGACCCATTTTTTACCCTTCTTCGAACAATAACGCAGGAGACTGTTACTTCTAAAAAGAAAACTGTGGAAGCCATTAAAAAATTTGCAAGAGGCAAGTTAAAGACTTGGCTATGCCAATTGCCACACGGTCTATTGGTCCAAAAGGAAGCAGGAAGAAACAAAAAATCGGTAACATGGACCCACATGACCCACGCACCACTCCAATGACAGATATCCTCTTCAATCAGACCATTATTACAGAGCTAACGAGGGGGAAAAGAAAAAGAATGATATAAATATTTTAAAAATTAGGGGGAAATTAATTATAGTTAATTTAAAACAACTGTTAATCACAGAAACCAGGAAGATTTCAACCTGATTACATGTAAGCGTCAACATGCAATAGATCTGTCACCACCTAATTAACAAATACTGAAGAAATTTCAGAGAAACCTAAATCTATTTTAAGCGGAGAAAAGGACAGCCATTGTATTCAAAAGTGAGCTGTTCCTTTATGTCACCACTTAATTATCGGGGGAGAAAAAAACAATTCAAGCAGCTAAAAGGTTGACAAATTCGAATCTGTAGACCGAAAGGAAACAAAAAGAAAATTATCAATTATCACAAAAATTCACTACAAATTTTCCTCCAGACAGCAAAACGCAGGAAATTTACCTGGGAAAATTATCTCCAGTTGCTTCCGATCTTTTCCTTTTGCTGTCGTCTTCAAACTGAGCTCACCGAAATTGATCCGAATCTGCAAAAACACCAAAACGAATAAGTAATTGCTTAATTACTTTGATGGAAATGCCACCGGAAACGCTTAATTACTAAACAATGATGAACTTATTAGAAGAGAATCGACGGAAGCAACTGATAGCGATCAAAACATCCACCGGGTGGAAAAGACCGAGAAGTTCCGATTACTAATTAAATTACTATAATCTCTACTCGAAACTCGTCACTCTAAGCGGGGGGGAAATCAAGCCGAGGCAGAGAGAATCGAAGAATTGACGATCTTCCATGGGTGGAGAAACCGAGAAGACGGACTCCAGTTTTCTTTTAGATTCCGATAACCTCTAGTCCTGAGTCCGATCAGGAAGGAAGGAGATCAAGTCGGATTTATTTTCCAGCAGTAGCTAGCGGGAGTCGATCCAAGGAATCCCAATCGGAAAACGAAAATCGGGAAGAAAAAAACCGAGGCGACAAGTGAAACGAGCTCAAATAGAAATAGTTCACACAGCAGCACATGAACCGACAGAATCCAAAATTCTTCAATTCTGAACTCGGAAAAATCAGATAACCAGCACGTTTTGGACGAGAAGTGCAAAAGCTCACCTCGAATTGGCGAGAACGGGAAGGGAGAAGCTGTAGCCGACGGAGAATCGAAGCGGAACCGTCGTTCAACGGCGAAGCTCTTCCCGAGAAGACGAACCAATAGTAGTGAGTGGGGCGAGCGGAGGTATTATTATTGAGCCTATGAGAAGCTCGCTCAGTATCTCTCCAACCTCCTGGCGTACAGCTATACAAGGCGAGATTCAGAGAGAAGGAAAAGTGAATTTTGCTCCGGTTTTGTTTGGATTGAGAGAATCTAGAGAGAGAAATTTCTCGCGGTCCCTCTCTCTCTCTCTAGTACTTTCTATTTGGGTCAGAGCGAGCAGTAAAAAACATCAGAAAGAGGGGGAAGGTGGAGGAATCTTTCTGGGAGCTCATTTCATTCTCAGCAGCACAGATTAGCCCCCGAGATTCACCGTTTATTACAGAGAATGCCACCGCGAGAATAATACGCGAGTCCTTTCCTCCGTGGTTTATTGTGGGAGTTGGGAACTGGGCTCCAGCCGTACCGGTGGTTCCCGCGCTCTGATTGTGCGCAATTTGACAATTTTACCCTTCAAACGTTTTATTATTGCACATATTCCTAGCATGTTCGTGTAGAACTTCGATTATATATGCTACGAATGTATCATAAACTTTCATGTTCCTTCTTATATGGACAAACAGATGAAAATAAACTATAATTTAATTAAAACTGTGCATCTGCTTGGGAGGAATTGTTGTTGATATGGCTCGCTTAAACTGAGCATATCGATTTTGGTGATATACAAAGTTGTCGTATGGCTTCCTTCTTCTCCTCTCCAAAAACCGTTATAATTTCTTCTTTCTCTCTCAACTCTTGCTCAAGTGTTTTCACTTTTCTCTCTAACATCAATTTTCGTTTCTTCTTCACTTGCTAGTGTCAATGCCATGGTCAGCCTTGCTTCTAACTCCCACACCTTCCCTTCCTTATCACTCAATTGTAATGTCAAATCGTCCATATTGTCTTTCAGTTGTTTGATCTCCCCTTTCTTTCATGCCATCCAATTTCGAGCATCTTGAATTTCATTTGATATCTTGGACATACGATTCAATGAGTGTTTGTTCTCGTCTAACTTCCTAATCAACACATCCAATCCCGTCAGTAAGCTTCCCCCGGGTTCAACCAATGTTTCTTTCATTTTCTTCAACGCATCTTCAAATGCCACAACCTTATCTTGAAGCTTTTTGTTTTCATTTTATAGCTCTTCTTTTATTTGCATGTAACTATCCTTTATTTCAAGGTGGATTTGTTCTACAATTTTTACTCTCTGCCTCAATAAACAAATATGAAATATGGTTCTCCATCGTCTTTTGGTATTGCTCTGCTAATTCTTCGACCTTCCTCTCTAATGTTTGGGCGCTGAACTTAGTGGACTCAGTCTGCTTAACATTTGGAGAGTCCATAGAAAGGTGTCTGATTGGTTTAAGTGTAATATCCGATTTGATCTCTTCGGTGATCTTCTTAACTACATCCTCGCGTTCTTTTTGGATTCTTTCTTTTTGAACCTCCAAATGGGATTTCTCTGATAAGGAAGATTCTAACTCCTATTGCAAATGAGTTATCTTTCCTTCAAATTTGTAACCTCCATAGAAGTTTCTTTACTTGTATCCTAAATCCTATTTTGAAGTACGCCAATATAATTTTCTCTACAGGATATCCCCTGTTATAATTCAAGAATTGCAACATTCATCCTATCATTAGACTCTCTTAATTGTGTCAGTTTTTGAGTTTGGTTTCTCATATGCTATTCCAACTCGTTCTTCTCTGTTCGCAAGGCTTGTAGCTCTACCCCATGATTCTTGCTTAAATCGGCCACCTTCTGTAGCTTCTCCTCAATCATGGACTTTGTTGCTAATTCCTCTAGCAACTTCTGTATTTGAATCGAACTCTTAGTGAATTCTTTGGACTTCCAGTTGAAGTTCCAACTCAACCTTGTGACGACGAACTAAATCTAATTCTTGTTGTATTGCAACCAAATGGTTCTGTATTTCATGCATTTGATATGATTCATCGACTTTCTTTTCCAAAATTTGTTCAAGCTCTGAAACACTAGTATTAAGTTGTATGTTCTTATCCCTGAATTGTCTTATTTCAATGACTTTCTCTTTAAATTTCACCTCGAGATCTCTCTTTGTGTTATTTAGTGATGCCAACTCCACTTGCAAGCTACTCACCTCTGACAACAATTCCCCAATCCCAAAAGCAAACCTTTCCTCACTATCCTTCATATGTTGCAACGTCAAATGAGCCTTATCGTCAACTCTTTTTGTGTCCAAATACTATTGTGATTCGAGCTCTATGATACGTTCTTGCAATTCTTGATTCCTTTCGTCAACCTTATTAACCTCATTTACTTTCTCTGCAAGCAACCCTTCCATCTCCAGTTTCCCTTTCCTTAATGTCTCTATCTCAAACTTATTTGCAATTAATTGTCCCTCTAACTCCTTCACCTGAGCACCTCTTTCGTTCCCATAAAGACTATCCTGAACTTTTACTAGAGTTGGAACCTCGTTTTTGTATTGGTCCATGCTCTCTTTAGATTCACGATCATCGTTTTGTTCTTGAGTTCTGTTCATATTCGTGGCTCTCGTTGCTTTCCTTTCCTGGCGTCTCCACGGGGGAGTAATACTCGAAATCTGAAGCCAACGTAGATCCAGGGCCAGTCCTTTTCTTGCTTACGTGAGCCTTCTTCACGGTGACACCTCGAAGGTTGGCATACTTTGAGTAGAGTGATTGGTAGTGTTTGTGTACATCATCGACTAACGAAACGAGTTATAATTTTGAGCAAAATATACAGCATACATAGACGAAAGAAACCACGAAACTAATGTTGTCTTTCTTATGAATTGACTGGTTGTGCAGGAGATGTTCTGTCTTAGATTGATTATGAAGGTTTCTTCTTGGATCAAAGCAACCAAATCTCTGTAGATGGAAACCCAATCCAAGGTTCGGGTAAGGAGCTCAATCAAAACAAAAACCTATCCCAACTTACATATGTCACATTGCGAGTTTCCCCCGGCCGTCATTTTCCCGGGAACCAAACAAACAGATATAAGCAAAACAAGCAAATTGTTTTGTTTTAGTTTTTTATAAATATTCTTTGAGAATATGCATAAGAAGAAAGCGAGAACGTAAGAACAAAGAGTGCGCTTAATCACCTGCTTAGATGAATTCCAGAAAGCTTAGCTTGGCTGACGGGGAGAGATAAATGTTGATTTTTGTCAATAGAAAATGGTTCATTGATAGTGGAACTAATTGAGCCTTTCTTCATTCTGGTCTTTTGAAAGGGGATTTTCTTTTGAAATTTTAGGAAACAAATCGTAAAAGAAAAACTGATTAATAAAATACAAATCAATTATTTTCCCCGCTTGGTTGTCATAAATCATAATGTCATGAGAGACCCCAGCGAGAAAGAGAGGCCATATGCAAAATTTGGCGCTTCTTATGTTTTAGATGCTCTCGTAGTCTGTTAATTACAAAACTAACCTTTTCCAGCCACCGCGAACTGAGAGTACCGCCAGATTCTCGCCGTCTAAAGATTAGCTGTGATGAGAAATATCGCGGCGGCGACATTTAAAAATTTCCCATTCGTTTCGCGGCAGTCATGCATGCTTCCTCAAATTATGCCACGTGTAAATGATTCCTCTGGTCACTGGAAAATTTCCAAAACTCCAGGTTGGTACGAAGTATAACCATAATAATAATTAAAAATCTGCATATATTTGTGGTGGTTTATATCCCAAAAATTCAAAATATCAGATAATTAGTAGCATGACAAAGAAGAAGGGACTGGAAAACATAAAGATTGTTCGTTCACATCACATGTACTGACCAAAAGTCAGAACGTAGCCCCAAGCCCCCAACAACATGAACAGAGAAGTATTCGGCTAAAATATTGGGCTTTCGGGAGCTTTGTTGAGAGTTGAGGCAGTTTTGGGCTTCAAATCAGTTGGGCTTCAAATCAGTTGGGCTTGCTCGTTAAGTGAAGTTCGGTTCTCTGCAGGCTAGGCCTACAAAGATTGTGGAGTGCGGAGTTTGGTGCCGGAAGCGAAAATTAACAAAAAATAATTGATATAACGCTAGAAGGAGGGCTTGAACCTCCGACCTTGTGGTTAACAGCCACACGCTCTAGCCAACTGAGCTATTCCAGCTTATTGTCAGAAGCTTCGTATATTTTATATTAATAATGTTTACTCTTACTGAATTAAGCCTCGGAGGCATTTTCCCCCGCTTAAACACCTTTCGTAAAGAATGGAATGCTGCAACTAATGAACTCTGTTACTCTTTAATTCACCTTTGTCGCTTCCACTGCCCGCCATAACCCTACTGCGAGAGAATTCCGGCCAAGAAATGGGATCCGAACCGGCGAAAGTCGGTTTCGGCGGCAAAGTCGACACCCGGAGCATCAAAGAGTTGGTCCTGTCTCTGAAGTCGGAGTTCCAGTCGTCGAAATTCGAGTACGTGGCGTCAGTCCTGGCCTCCAGAGAAGAGAAGCTGAAGCGGGAGATTGCAGCCAAGGGGAAGGAGAATCACGATCTGTTGCTGGATAAAGAGCAGGCCAGGTTGTACACAATCAAATTGGAGGTTGAACTGAGGAAATGTGCGGATCGTGTCAATAGTTTCGAGGAGGAAATGAAGAAGTTGCAAGCCATACATCTCGCCGGTTCTGCAGAAGTTGGGAGAGGAAGGGTCCAAGCATCGCCGGAGAATCGCGGAGAGAGTGTTCGTTTGACGGCGGATGGAAACGGGATTGCCAGTGCTTCAGGTTGTTGTGAGTTCAATTTTGGGGCTTCGATTCTGGATTGTTGATTTCATTTATAGTTTCATGTGAAACTGATGTTGTTTGGTTTATGTTTCTTGGAGAGGCAGGAGTGAAGAAAGTAGATGGCAGCAAGCAATCGAACTTGGAAATGAATGTAAAGAAGGAGAAGGAAGATTCAGTGAGTGAAGGGATTAGGGTCTGTAAGAAGGTAGATGAAAGAGACAAACTTGGCATAGAGATGAATGCGAAGAAGGAGAATGAAGAGGCGCAGAATGGAGGAAATGGCAAAATTGGATTAAGCAGAAGTGTCAATCCGAAATCCTACGAAGCTGATACTAGCGCTGGTAAACACGGTGAGGGTTTCAAGTATATTGTAGGCATTTACATTATTGTTTAGCACTTAACAATGAAATAAATTGACTTCAGTTGAAGATTTAGTTTGCCACAAGGTTCTGTGACAATGAAGAAAGGAAGTTTTAGGCATTTCCTCCCTGCATTCTTCTTGAAAGGTGGATGAAAAAGAGACCTAAAACCAATTAGAAAACAAGTATAGGGTTAAGGATATATCTGAATGAGATCTACACTATAGGGGGTAGAGGCTCTTCTTTCTTGCAATGTTTTCCACGAACTTTCAAAGCTGAATCGAATACAGTTGAGGTCCCATTTTACAGCATCCTCTTACTTACAAAGAAGATTTGGGATTTAACAATTTTCTTGCGTCCTCCTTCGGACCGTTATTGTTCATTCTCTTGGATATTAGAACTGGATGTGAGTTGGTTTCTGAATATCATATCCTCATTTGGGCTTGCTGAATGCCTCCTCTGTTTGAAAGTTTAAATGAACTCAGTGGCGAGATAAAAAAAATCTCTTTTGCCAAGTGCTGGAGGAATGAGATAGTGGCTAACAATGCTTTAAACTGCAGAGAGAATAGATAACACGCTTGAATTGTTTCTCACTAGAAGCTATGTCTTTGGAACAGATTGTATCACACATTTAGCCTGAGGTGACGAATAATTATGGCTTACCGATCACTCAGGCCTTCCTGTTCTGTTATGAAGTTGTGGTTATTGAATACATTTGATTCCTGGAGAATTCTGCAATCTGTCCACCACAGTTGGATACTGAAACCTCTATGTTTTCAAACTGCAGGAAACACAAGACCAACACCAGCAGCAGGCACTGTTATTGAGCTCAGTGATAGTGATGATGAATGTACTCCTTCAAAGGCTCAAAAGGAAGTTACTCCCAAGCAGCTACATGCGGGAGCTGGTCACGCAGGAAAACTCGCTGTTGAAGATGGAACCGGGGTGCTCAAAAGGAACTACTCCATTTCAGGTGAAAATGATAAGTCAGGTCGTTCTGAAAAGCTGACAAAACACCAAGACAATGTCCATATTGGTAGAACTGTTGCAGCCCCGTCAAATCAGGGTTCACTTAGACCGTCTTTTGCTGCTCTGGCTGCCGCGTCCAGCTCCAGCTCTAGCGCTAGCTCTGACGACGAGTTCGATATTGTCCACTGATATTGCCTTCAAACCAAGTCTATGGTAACGGTTACAAGTAACCTCTTAACCCTTCCAAGTGTAGTCTAACTGATCCCTGAAGATTGACCTTTTGGTGGCCACAATCAGCTCTGTGTAGGACACAGCAAAAAGTTTGACTGTTGTAGATAGGATCAGAATGGTATGGGAAATGATTTGGCTGGAATGATAGTGCTGCTGAGCAACTTTCTGCAGGGCGCAACTTTGCAGTTTCTTCTGAATAACGTGTGTATACCTTTTTGTAACGAAAATCTGTGTCAAGGGATCTGCATTTTGATTGGTGGATGTTCTGAATATGATCACATTCACATGTTTCGTGCTATGTTCTGTTCATACGTACAATAGAGATTGGGAAGCCTTGCTGGCCAGGTAGTGTTGTCGAGGGGCAAATAGTCGAGGATGTGGATGTTTCATTGTCTTCTTGGCAAGTGGGACGCAAAGGAGTAGTAGCACGTACAACATCTTCTCCATATGTTTCTTGGAGTAAACAAGCACACATTTATCCGAATGGACAACAAGCCCACAATTTCAAATACCACATAATCATGAAATGCATACACCATTGATATACATTACCTAATTTAAACCATCCCACCAGGGTGTCTCTTATTAGCATATTGGCCGAGGGGACAACAGGTTTGAGTCTAGAACACGACTATATCGAAATCACAAATTGGGTACCGGGTTATGGAGAACGGGAATCAGCTTCAAATGGTTCTTCCTCCTGATGGTGATGCCGAATATTTCATCCATATCTAGATTCTCCGGCTCGACTCCATCTGGAAGTTTCCAGTCGAAATGGTACAACAAGTTAGCCAGAGGAAGTTCGACGGCCGCCAACCCAAACGTCATCCCCGGACACATTCTCCTCCCCGCACCAAATGGCAGGAACTCGAAATCGCCTCCTCTGAAAGTGACGTTGCTCTCCAAAAACCTCTCCGGCCAGAACTTCTCGGCTTCTTCCCCCCAGTAGCGAGGATCCCTAGCTATCGCCCACACGTTCACGACCACCGTGGTCTTCAAGGGGATGTCGTATCCGCCAATCTGGCACTCCTCACGGCACTCCCGGGGAAGCACCAGCGGCGCCGGAGTGTGCAGCCGTAGTGTCTCTTTGATGACCATTTTAAGGTAGGGCAGTTCTTCGATCTTGGCTTCGTCGACCCTTCCCTTTTCGCCGAACATTCCCCTCACCTCCGACTGTGCCTTTCGCAACACTTCTGGATTCTTAATCATTTCCGTCATCGCCCATTCGGTCAATGATGACGGGGTCTCGCTTCCCGCTAAGAAAACGTCCTGCAATCCCAAGTTGATGAAAGGCATATTAATAATTATTAATTAACATTATTGATATTGATAACAAATTAAAATTTTCTTTATTGTCCTGGATCGATACAACACACATTTCATTTTAAGAGTCAAAGACAACCAATGCTCCAACCTCGAAACATATGTACTGGCACAATTATAGACTAATAATAACTCCAAAGACTGTACTTTATTATTTTATTAACAAAATTCGAGGGAATGAAGAAATAATTAAGTTAGTCGTTAATAATTGATTTACCAGAAGGAAAGCCTTGATGGAATTGGTGGACAACTCGAAACCAAGCGTGGTCCCATCTTCCTGCAGATTCAACAGCACGTCCAGCAAATCCTCCTCGTCCTCGGATTTCCTACTCACCGCCCTCCTCTCCCTGTGCTGGCGGATGATGCTCTCCGCCAGCCGGTCGGTTCCCTCGTGCATTTTATCCAGCCACTCCTCCGTCCCATAAAACCTCTGCACCAACCCGCTCGAAGGAAACAGGTACGGCAAACCGAACCCGCCGCCGTACTTCACCAGCGCCTCCGCGATCTCGATGAACTCCTCCTGCTCCGCCGACACGTCACCGAACGTGGCCTTCGAGATGATGTTGTACGTCAGGCTGAACAGGGCCCTGGTCAGGTCGACGACATCGATCTGACCAGGGTCCGCAGCACAACCAAAAGAGTTGGGCTCTGTCACGGAACACAACTATACAGATAAGTTTTGGTAAAACGATAATAAATAAATAAAAAGAATCTCTTTTTGGTGTCAAACCTAGCTCACTTATTGTTAATTGGTTCATTTTTATTACATTATGAGAAAAGGACACACCTAATTTCAACTTCTGGCTTCGCGACTGACCGGGGTCCTGGCCCGTGGCGGCGGCGATGGTCCGCATGAGGGCGAGGACCTCGGGCTCCCTGACGCGGCGGAGGGACTGGACGCGCTTGGCGGTGAGGAGCTCGAGGGTGGCGATGCGGCGGAGCTGGCGCCAGTATTCGCCGTAGGGGGAGTGGATGAGGTTGATGCCGCCGTACATGATCTTGGCCTGGTGCGGGTGGAAGGGCCGCTGGGCGAACTTGATGTCGTGGGTCCGCATCACCTCTTTCGCCGCTTCCGCGGAGGAGATGATGACGTGGCGGATCTCGCCGAGGTGGAGCTGCATGACGTCGCCGTGGGTTCTGGCCAGCTGGCGGAGGCGGCGGTGGGGCGGCTCCGGGCTGGTGAGGAAGTGGTGGAGGTGGCCCAGCACCGGGAGCTTCCATGGTGCTGGCGGCGGGTTGTGGGTGAGATTGCGCCGCCGTTTGGACGCCGTTTTGTTCTGTGCTGTTTTGTTGGTAATGGTGAAGGAGAGTAAGGAGACGGCGGCGATGGTGAGGAAGAGTATTATATGGAGGAGCTCCATTTTTTTAGGGGGGTGTACTATAGTTGTCCTTGGATGATGAGGATTACTATTGTATTATGGTGGGAGGTGTGTGACATTGTGAGTGGGATGAGGGATTAAATAGAGTTAAGTGAAGGGAATGGGGTTTGGTGTTCACTATATTTTATTACCATATTGCCAATAATTTTATTGGTGGAGGTGTTAGTATGATCAATGATGTATAAGATTCAATATAGGATCTGGTAATTTACTTGGTACTATTTTTCTTATGCAACAAATTATGTTGATGACTTATATTTGTTAAGTATATGGTATTCTAGTTTGTGTAAACTTTAAATTCACATGGATAGCTTTCTTTTCATACGGTATAAATTTTAGGGTATGCCTATGGTTACATGCATGTTACCGTAACTTACACTTAAAAAGTAGACCTCATATAGAATTAGGTCGACCTAATATGTCGTTTCAGTTTTGTGAGGTTCCCGAATACACTAATGTGGGCTCCCTGATGACTTATCACGGTCGACCTTTAAAATGTAGTGGTCGACTGTTTGTAGTTTAAGTTATCATTGTTGGTCGACCACAATAAAAAAAATCGGTTGCCCTTTTCATTGGCATCAGAAGCAAAATGGTCGACCGTAAAGGTATATAGGTCGACCACTTGATGGCGGTCATTAACAAAATGATCGACCATTTATAGAAAGAGGTCGACCAAATATATACAAGAGAAGTGTTGTATACATTTATCCATCATCATTTGACGTAAAATGAAGAAAAGTGTTGGTTTCTCGGCCGACCTTATCCGGTACGAGGTCACCCGAATACAAGAGAATCAACCTATGCCCTGCGTCTTTTTTGCTTATGTATGTCGATGTGGATGATTCTTTTGCTCGTACAAATTACGTTTCAAACCAACAGAATCAGTCATAAATAATGATAACAAGGACTCATAACTTCCACGTGGTCGACCTCTTGAATCACTTGCAGCAGCAACCGCAAAGGATCTTCTTCACAAAAGCTAACACCGTAAAAAAACCTAATTCATAGTTTCGGTGGCGGTGAAGGTGACATATATTCGCATTTATAGATATTTAGGACGAGAATGGGTCGAATTAAGTGGTAGATAAGTTAGGGTTCCCTTTCTGGTGTTGGAATTCTTATCCAATACGGATACGGTGTGCACGCGGTCGACCTCGTACTTATGCGATCGACCTCAGTTAATCAAAATGGTCGGCCTATGACTATGAGGTATTTGGATCGACCTTTCATTCTGTTCGCTTTCCAAAGAGGTCGACCATTTGTTATAAAAGGTCAACCGCGTCGTTGAACCTCACAAAACTGAAACGACATATTAGGTCAACCTAATCCTATATAAGGTCGACCTAAAAGTGCATATTAGGTCGACCTAATGCTATATAAGATCGACCTAAAAGTGCAGATAAAGTCTACCTAATTCTATATGAGGTCGACCTAAAAGTACAAGTTATGGTGACATGCATGTTACCGTAGCAAAATCCTAAATTTTATTATTAAAACCTTTTAACAATTCGAGTTATTACGACGAAAAGGTGACCATTGGATTGTTAAGATGATGATGATTGCTACTGTAGTGGGAGGTGTCTATGTGGGAAGAAGATTTCACTACATTTTTATTACCCTCTTCACAATATTTGAGCTCATGGAGGGTTAGTAACTTAGTATGTCAAAGTCATGGAGTCAATTTGTGGGGATTGCATGTGTTAATTGGTTCCCGCACATTTTTTCCTTGCACGGTTCTTTTAGCTTTTTTCCCCCCACAATATTTGAGCTCATGGAGGGTTTGTAACTTAGTATGTCAAAGTTATGGAGTCAATTTGTGGGGATTGCATGTGTTAATTGGTTCCCGCACATTTTCTCCACGCACGGTTCTCTTAGCTTTTTTTTTTTTTTTTAAAGGATGAGATGAATTTATTTTATTCTTAGATGTTATTTGATAAATTTGAATCCGAAAATCTTAGGGTCTCTTGAATAAATTGAATTTGCGATTGTATAGATATGATCATTATGGTGGTGGTGGTTAAGTATTTTTATATACATAACATAAAATTGTTGTGTATATTCAACATTTTCTTCCTGCACGATTTTCATTTGTTTTTGGTAAATTTTATTATGGTGTTAGTGATGTTTATATATCCGAACTATTTGTCCTTCGTGAGGTCATGAGATGGTGTTTTACTCATAATGTATTGGTTGTTACTTTTTGTAGAGATTCTCAACTGGTCACCATGGATGCTACATCGAGGAAGTCTTTTCATCCTAGCCAAGGTGTCATCCTAGAGGAAGTTCACTCTTTTATTGTCCTTTATTTTAGTTTCGTGTCTTTTTGTTTCTTATATGTTTAACAAAGCTATTCACACCTATTGACAAAAACATGTGTTGATATGACTTGAATCGGATTATCAGCCGCTACGACTGGTAACCGGGGGTCTGGGCTTGGTCTGTAACCGTTTCCTTTGCTAGATTGGATTAGGTTTAGACCCACATGGAGAAGTACTATAAATACTTCTCATACTCCTCTGTAATCTGTAATCTCCTCAGATATAGTGAAACTGGCTCTCTCTCGCCCGTGGACTAGCTAACACACATCGTGTTAGTGAACCACGTAAATCGTGTGTCTGTGTCTTTCGATTCTCGCTCTCGTATTCTTGCTTTGTCGATTCCGGCGATTTCCCGATCCGTAGCAGCGCGTTTTTAACAAGTGGTATCAGAGCCGCGGTTGGAAATCAGGCTAGGGTTTTCGATTCAGAAGAATGACGTCGGTGAACATGAAGATCGAAAAGTTCACGGGGAAGAACAGCTTCGCTATATGGCAGATCAAGATGCAGGCTTTATTGAAACAACAAGGGCTGTGGGGGCCGCTGTCTGCGAAACAGAAGAAGGCAGCGGTCGATGACGATGAGTGGAATACCCTGGAGGAGAAGGCCCACTCGACCATCATGCTATCGTTGTCTGGTGACGTCATCATTGAAGTCGCTGCTGAGAAGACTGCCGCGGGCTTGTGGTTGAAACTAGAGAGTCTGTATATGACTAAGTCTCTAACCAACAAGCTGCATCTCAAGCAACGGTTGTTCAGCTTGAGGATGCAAGAAGGTACGCCTTTGAGGGAACATCTCGAACAACTTAACTCTATTTTGCTGGATCTGCGTAATATAGATGTTCAAGTTGATGACGAGGATGCTGCCCTAATCCTGCTGGTTTCTTTGCCGAGTTCATATGAGAATTTCGTTGATTCTTTTATTGCCGGTAAAGAAAGCGTGTCGTTGGAGGATGTCAGGTCTGCTCTTCATACGAGAGAGATCAGACATAAGGCGTCCGGATCTGGTACAGGTGGTGAGGCATCGGGTTTGGCTGTTACAGGTGGAAAGGGAAAGAAGAAATCTGGTAAAGGGAATTCGAGCAAGAATTCCAAGGGTCCCGGTCCACAGCCAGGTGATGCTTGTCACAACTGTAAGGAAGTGGGGCATTGGAAGTACAACTGTCCCAAGAGAAGAGGGCAACAGAAGAAACAAGGTTCAGTTGCCGTGGCAGAAGTGGACAACAGTTTCGAAGACGATCTCGCCTTGGCTGTAGATGAGAAGGCACATCGTGGTGATGTGTGGTTTCTGGATACTGCAGCCTCATATCATATGTCTCCGAACAGGGATTGCTTCACAACCTACGAGCAGATAGATGGTGGTAACGTGGTCATGGCTAATGGAGCTGTCTGCAAGGTTGTTGGAATCGGGTCCATAAAGGTTCGGACACATGATGGTTCGTTCTGTACCGTGAATGATGTCAGACATGTTCCACGAATGACGAAGAACCTGATCTCCTTGAGTCTACTCGACAGCAAGGGTTTCAGTTTCAAAGGAAAAGGTGGAGTTGTGTATGTCTGCAAGGGTTCGAGGAAGGTACTGAAGGGCGTGAAGCGTGGGACCTTGTATGCATTACAAGGGTCTGTGTTGTCTGGTTCTGCTGCAGTTGCATCGTCTCAGGTTCAACAGGAAGATATGACCACTCTCTGGCACATGAGACTGGGGCATATGAGTGAACGGGGGATGCAAGTTCTATCGAAGAGGGATCTTCTTTGCGGGCACAAGGTGCAGAATTTGGAATTCTGTGAGCATTGTGTGTTTGGGAAGCTACATCGCAGCAAGTTTCCCAAGAAGGGTATCCACCGGACGAAGGGGATACTGGATTACCTCCACTCCGACTGTTGGGGTCCTTCACGAGTTGAATCCATTGGAGGCAGCAGGTATTTTCTGTCTATTATCGATGATTATTCGAGATTTACTTGGATTTTCATGATGAAGCAGAAAAGTGAGGCTTTCACGAAGTTCAAGTAGTGGAAGACATTGGTGGAGAATCAGACCGGGAAGAAGATCAAGAAGCTGCGAACGGACAATGGTCTGGAGTTCTGCAGTTCTGAGTTCAACGAATTCTGCAAGGATGAAGGGATTGCCCGTCATCGGACTGTTAGAAATACACCTCAGCAGAATGGCGTTGCAGAAAGAATGAACCAGACATTGTTGGAGAGAGCACGGTGCATGCTCTCTAATGCTGGACTAGAGAGAAGATTCTGGGCAGAAGCAGTAAACATGGCGTGCTTCCTGATCAACCGTGGACCACACACAGGTATCGAGTGTAAGACTCCTTATGAAGTGTGGTATGGTAAGCCTGCTGATTACTCTTCACTGAAAGTTTTTGGGTGTCCTGTTTATTATCATGTGGATGAGGGTAAACTGAACCCAAGGGCAAAGAAGGGTGTATTTGTGGGTTACGGAGATGGAGTTAAGGGATTTCGAGTCTGGTCACCTTCTGAGCATCGAGTTATACTTAGTAGAAATGTGATATTTGATGAGAAGTCTATGTTTAACCCCATGTTGAAGGTCACTGTTGTTGAAGGTAGCAGGAATGTTGATAAGCAGGTGGAGCTGCAAACTCTCAATGAGAGTGAGTTTGAGCACCAAGGTGGAGAAGATCAACATGATGAGGATGTCTCT